ATTCGCGAATGGGCCAGCATATCCACGAATACGGTATATTCGCGGTTGGGCCGGAACAGATACGAATGTCAGAAAAGTTGGCAGAAGTCATGTTTTCACTATCAACTAACTGGAGGATGCTAGAAAACGGCTAATTTGTGTCGTAGGTGCTCGGATGAGATTAAATGAACTGACCTGCTTACTCCACATATAGGGCGGCTCGTGTTTTAAGTTCCCATTGCTTGGACAATATGTTGAAATATTGGATGAAAAGAGTATGCATGAACTTGGCCATCCCATAGTGCGGAGAGAGTCTCTGTCCGAGATACTAATGGCATAGGCAATTGTTTATTTCCCTCCAATGAGGGTTATTCTTCGTTTCATTCAGGGGATCCGCATCCGGACAACTGTCCGCTGCAAATACACCGAAACTCCGTTCTCATATATTGGCCGATTGAGAGTGCAAGGGAGCTTGAAGTATATAATAATGTTATCATGTCGGATTTTAAATCGTTTATCCTCATCGAACTTTGTCCATTCGATTCACGGCGACTCAGCTTTCATTAGAAACCATGGGCGTTTTATCCAAGATCGTAATTGCGGTTGCCGCTACCACTGCAGTCTTCGCACCTGCCGCATTGGCCCAGAGGCCCATGGAGAACCTTGGTCGTGGTGTCGTCGCAGTCCGTTCAAACGAGACAGCCGTTTTGGTAGGCTGGCGGCTGCTAGGGCTTGACGATGAAAGCATTGGCTTCAACGTCTACAGAGCCACCGGCTCCGGCAACCCAAAGCTTCTCAACTCCAAGGTCTTGACTGGCGGCACCAATTTCCACGACCTAAATCCCAACTTGGCAGAAAGCAACACGTACCATGTGAGACCAGTGCTTAACGGCAAGGAAGCGGCCGACAGCGGCAAGTTCACCTTGGCGGCCAACAATGCTGCAGAGCCAGTCGTCAGGATCCCGATCAAATCGGGTGGCGTTATCAAATACCTGTGGGTTGGCGATCTGGATGGAGACGGAGTAAGTTATTTATGTGGTCCCCCAGGGCGGATTTCAGATGCCTGACGTGTTTAAAGGAGTATGACTATGTGATCGACCGGCAGACAGCGCCCAGTACTCTTGAAGCTTACCGCAGTGATGGTAAGTTTTTATGGGAGATCAACATGGGACCAAACAGTGTGAATCAAAACAACATTGAGCCTGGCTCATCAGCTTTGAACGTCGGCCATTGGGATGGAATTACTGTCTATGACTTCGATAGCGATGGAAAGGCTGAGGTTGCGTAGGCTACACCTTAACCCCCTAAATTCTCATGTAGCTAACGATATGCAAGTGTCCGAATCGCAAACGGCGTCGTGTTTGGAGATGGGAAAACTTTCAGTGGTGGAAATGGTGATGACGACCAATATATCGCCATTATCAACGGCGAGACAGGAGCGCTACGTGCCACTGCTCATATTGAAAACGAGTACCTGTCTGATGGCCCTCTTGCAGCCCGGTTTGGTGTCGGCTACCTAGACGGTGTCACGCCGCATCTTGTAACTTATATGAAGAACCGCCAACCGGGTCAGGGTGCGTTCAACCTTATCATGGCCGCCTGGAAATTTGACGGCAAGGCTGTAAAATTGGCGTGGAGATGGGTACGAGGTGACCAGGATGCCTCAGATGGGCATAATACGCGCATTATTGATCTTAACGGCGATGGAAAGGACGAAGTCTGCGAGATTGGCTTCGCGCTCAACGGCGATGGCACCTTGCGGTATTCGTTGGCAGGTCAGGGTATTGGCCATGGCGACCGGTTCCATATTTCCAAGATGGATCCATCGCGCGCAGGTCTTCAAGGCTATGGCATCCAGCAGGATAACCCCAGTCTCCTTATGGAGTACTTATACGACGCCTCCACCGGAAAGCTTATCTGGGAGCACTTTGGCACCGAGGTAGGCGATGTCGCACGCGGTATGGCTGGTGACATTGACCCACGGAGCCCGGGCATGGAGGTCTGGGCTTTCGACGGCGTCTACAATGCGGCAACCAACAAGCTCACCGAAGAAGACACCACTTTAGCACCATGGCCACAGCTAGGTCTATGGTGGGATGGCGACGCGCTCATGGAACTCTACAACGACGGGAAATTCGAGCAGTGGGACTGGTTGAAACCAAGTGTGTCTGGAAAGATGCCACGATTTCTCAAGATCAGCGACTACGGTGGCAGCGTGTCGACCCGAAACCCACTCTTCCTCGGCGACATTTTGGGCGACTGGCGCGAGGAGGTTGTTGTTACAAATGCCAATTACGATGAGCTTCTCATCTTCAGCACGAACATCCCGTCGGACATCCGCCTTTATACGCTGCCGCACAACCCGGCCTACCGCAACGCCATGACACTCAAGGGATACATGCAGTCTCATCACGTTGATTACTTTCTCGGTGACCGTATGAAAACCCCACCAAAGCCTAACATCTATTACGTAGGTGCTTAGGAAGGGCAAGAATAATAATACTTTGAAAGAACCTTGAGTAATCGTCTTTACAATATGTCGGTTATGATGGCCTGTGTTAAAGGGCGTTTTATATTACAATATCCAAGTAACTCCCACATACGACTAGAGACTCAAGAGAATTCAGCATCCCGTCCGCTCTGCCATACACAAGCTGGCGTATCCTCTGGATAATAGTCTCAATCGTACTAATAGACATAGCGCGGAATCGTGGGCCCTTGCCAACTGAAGGGTGACCAGGGGGAGTGGGGTAGGCGGGGTGAGTGGGGCGAAGTGATTTAGCTGTTGGAGGGAATTACAAGTACGGAGAACCACACCCAAAATCGTGTGAGAATCTCTAGTCACTGTAATCAATCCCTTCAGGCAACAGAGCAGAAGCTTCACAGTAGAATAAAGTAAAATATAATAATATGATCAATTGAATTACTCACTAATCTACGGGTCTATGTATATGATCTTTTGCCCATATGTTATTTGTAGGTCCAGGGAAACCCTCGAACCAAGAAGAATTGGGTCTTTTCAGCCCAAGCTGAAGCCGAGACATTTGGCTGGCGCCACCGGCTAGTGCGTGGACCAACCGGGGAGCTGGACAACCCCTTGAGGAAAACCCGTCATTTTGGGCGCAAAATCCTGCAGTATCCCCATGGGAATGTCCGGTTCCCTCAACATTAACGACGGAACCAAACCTCCAAAATTAAACCAACGATATTCAAACTTCTCTTGGTGCGACAAGAGGGTCTGCTTACATGGCCGATATTGAAGAAATGGCGAGCGCGAAAAGTACGGGTTTGCTGGCAGTACTCGACTGTTGTCGTTAGCAGAAGTTTGGCAAGCAACTAGACACAGAGTGGTTTGAGCGGAAGCCCTTCCCTTACATGTTTGAGAAGAAGAATCTTGTAAAGGCGCAGCGCATCCAAATCGAAATACACTGGGCAAACGAATCAGCACGGCTCGACGAAGCTTGCTGCCTAATAAGCCAATGGTGTGTTGTGTTGAAGTGGTGCTTGTAGATTGTGGCTTAAGCCTTGCCTTCAGCGCGATTTGCTTTTCTTGCTCTGTCTTTCTCTTCTTTGCTCCGAGTACTGCCCATCAAATTTGAAACGCAGCTATCACCATCCCAAGTATGCCTACAATAACTCTCTGTCGCTTTGGCGTTGATAAACAACTGTCTCTGCATGAGGTAACTCTCGAGTCGTCTTCATATATTGCCATATCACACATATGGGCTCAAGCCTCGTGGACGAAAATCCCAGGAATAGCGGAAAAGGTTCTCGTGTCTCCACAGAAAGCTAGATTTATCCAGGACAGATTGCCAGCTTTGGTTGGCCATTTACTATTTTGGATGGACGTCTTGGTCGTGGACCAGTCTAACAAGGACGCTAGATTAGCCGTTGTCGAGCATATTCCCGCTGTCTACATGAATGCAACGAAAACCATTGTTGTAAGAGAAGACGGTGGCTTCGGTCCATGCTGTGAGAGTTTGCTAGACCTGATAGACGATGAGAAGTGGAACGTCAATCGCGTCCGTGGGGCAAATGGGCAACTCGAAGATTATGACATAGCCAGCAACGCAGCTAAACATCTCAAATCTCATCATCAACATGGCCTTGATGAAATCTGGTCACATCGACTATGGCCTCTACAAGAGACAAATCTCTCCCAGACAATTCAATTCACTGTCTGTGAAAACGCCAAGCGGGCCAAATCTTCCGTCACGTGGGAGAAGGCATATTTGGAACTTACTGAGCTTGATAAGGCCGCTGAGGCATGGGTCGAGCGCGGGCAGTTCATTTGGCCTGTTGGGGAAGAGGAAAATCCTGATGAACAAGAACAAACCATGGTACTGAAGAAAGAGTTCATGCGCGCTATGCTAAACAACGGCACAGTCACTCGCTCCTCGGAGCCAGTACCGGAAGGGAAAGCATCTGTCTTTCATACCTTAGTTGGTTCTTTAACCAGCTCCCGAGAGACCACTAAAGCCAGAGATTTTGTCTTGGCACTCTTTCCATCATATTCGTGGTACACTATTCCTCCTAATGTCAGAGACATGGAATTCGGAGAATTGTGGGTCGATTGTGTAACACAGTTCCAAACCTTTCACGAGCAGCCATTTCTAAATTTGAGTGTGAAACCTAAATTGACCCTGGGAATCCTGGGACATACCGAAATTAGTGCGGAGGAATCTCAGAAGCCTTCTGCAGATATACCTTATCCAAGGTGTTTGGGTGATTTTGCAAGATTGGCTTATTTTCTTGGCAATCGCGAGCCATATCTAGACGCATCTCGACGGGGCACCTGGAGAATACAAAAGATGACAGAGCTTGACGATTTAAACGATATTCTAGCCATTGTCAGTGAAACGGTATACCGTACGCGGATTTTTATTTTCAACGAATGGATATCTCAATATTCTGTATGGGCCACACAGCAAAAGTCAAGCGACGAGCAGCTGCTCTTCAAGCTACGACTTAAAAGGATGGCTCGTGCTGTTGCAGGGCGCGGCGACAAGGCCTCTGATGAATCCGACGACACAATAAGGAGACTGGAATACGAGCTTGCAGTACTAGGGGATAAAGGAGCCGCAAAATGCTTCACGGCAATTATAGGGATGTATGTTCGACTTAATCGGGAACTCGATGAAAGAACACAGGTTCCAAGGGTTGCAAAGGCATCGTGGGACCAGATTGTAGAATTGGCTAAAGAGCACGATACTCCGTTTTGGAGAACATCTTTGTTACACCTAGCGGCAATAGTCTCTTGTGGACTAGGCTTCAGTTCACTTTCGTGGTCTCGGGATAGGCTTTCTCCCTATCTCGCGAGTTACCACGAAGATGGCCAGCGCAATGCTTTGATTCAAACACTTATGATAGCTTCCCCAAATCTCACGATACACAGGTCGGATGAGATTAATCTTTTCACCAATCCTCATGACCCGTATGTGGTTAAGAAATCGACAGAAGAGAATGGTGCACCTAGGGTAATTGGGGCAGCAATAGAGTGGCATCATGAAGATAGGGACGATTTTAAAATTGTTCTCTATAATGGCTGCCCTCTTGCCTTGCCTTGCAATGATCCTGGATCTACACCAGACGAGTGGATATGTCTTTTCACGCATGGTGACTACAATGAAGCAATTCGGTCGTTGATGGGAAGTCCAGGAGTTTCTAGGGCTGCAAATTTGCCTTTTCTTATCCTTTAATATGTACATCCTTTAATATGTACAGGAGCAACTATGAGTCGCAGTGTAAGGTGTTGGTTCTTGGTCAGTTTAGGGTTAGCAATAGGATCTGCTTCCAGTGCCTTGCAGTCTTAGTGAATGCGCAGGTTGGCCCTCATAAGGACAGCGATTGGAGCTCTAATTATGTTTCCCTTGCAGCTCTACGCAAGGGTATTATAGGCGCGCGTGCGCTGATAGCCTCCCTTCGCAGCACGTACATTACCCTACCAGCCTCACCTGTACCAATATAGAGGAGTTGGCTAGAGATCGCCTATAAAAAAAACATTGTGGCAGGAGAAACACAACTAAATCCTATAGTCAAATCTCGGCTGTACTGCATTCCACAAGAGGATTATGTTAATGGCAGAGTGTGGGGAACTATGAATATATCTCTGTTCCTCCCCGTCATCCAACGATGTGCGCCACACTTAAAACCAGGGTTTTAGGCTGGTTGCAGTCAAATCTACGCCCTCTTTGCCATTACTAAATTACTACGGAGGTGCTGTTCAAACGTTTTGTCAGTGGAGCAAGCATGGGACCCCAGAATTTGTGCACAGGAGCATAAACTCATGTATCGATCACATATAAAATATAAGGGAAGATACACCAGCGATTTGGAAGTAGCCATGCGAGTGGCTTTTATAGTTGGCCCCACTGACAAAACTTATGAACAACACCTCCGTAAATACAGTGAGTGGCTTGAGATTGAGTTTAAAGCTTTTCAAATGATTTGCTACCCCGCATTTACAGGGGTCTCAACCACCACGCCCCGATAAGAAAGTCGGGGAAACAATTGCACATCTTACTGCTTCAATAGTCCTTTTAGGAAGCTTATACCGACTAAACGAACTGTAACGTTCCATGCTTACGCCTCCTATCTGCTGTTTGTTCAAGCCTACGTAGTTATGTTACAACAAAGTGTTGTGAAGCATGGTGCAGTAGTGGGATAATCCTACTCAGGCAACTTGCCATGTGCTCAATCTGTCAACGAATCTGGTCGATGATCTCCCCGCTTCTCACCGCTTTGCCCACGGCCAAGGACCTATCCTTGCCGTCCAAGCCGGAAAATCATTCTGTTTTAGGCTAGAATTCTCGACTGCTCTTACTCTAGGGTTGCTTAGCTCTACCTTTATATTAGAGTTAACATGTCAGACGGGCATTTCATTGCTGCGTAGATAAAGGTAAGTTAATATCAACGGCGGGGTATAAATATGCAGCAACGCCACATTAAACTCGCTGATTCTTAAAATCAACGCATAAATAACACCCAACGAACAGTATCTACCAGTCCCAAAGTCCAACCAAGTACGACCCCCTTCCTGACCTCACAGCCCTGAAGCTAACCAAAACCACCAGCCACTCGTCACGATGCAACTCAAATCCGCCGTCCTCCTCCTCATCGCCTCCATTGCTACCGTAAACGCGGCCAGCCTCGAGCCACGCGCCTGCAGCTCCAACGGGTGCGCGTGCGTAACCGGCATCAAGGCAGGCATATACTGCGGCAACTGCGTCGTCGGCGCCGGTACGTACGCCGTCAAGACGAAGCGCGTGGCATCACATGCATTCCAGTGTGGCGCCGGCGGAGCATGCTGCGATTATGGGGCTGCAACTGATTGTGGGAAAACGAGTGCGAGATGCGCGGAGGGCTCTGGTGTCTAAAAGGTGTCACTGGGGAATGGATGGATGTAGTGAGTTGACTGGTGTGATGAAAGTTGCTGGAGCTTAAGACGTTCTGTATATAGGTTATCGTCAACATACAGATCAAATTTATTGTGCACTATCACGGGCGGTAACGACTGTCAGATTTTCTGGCTTAAAAGCTGATTGAGTGCAACTGGAATGATATGCCGAATGTCCCAAGTACCATCGATGGATTTTGGTGCAGGAGTTACAAAGTTTCTCAGTACCCCCAACCAAGACGACGGTAGGCTTTATATTTCCTAGCTCACTTTTGCCCCTCCTCCAGGCGCAGAAACTGCATTTATTTGCAATATCCATGCTTGACAATGTCGTGAGTACCGCTATGGCAGTTGATCTTATCGTGGTCGAGTTTGCAGCTCCAACTTACGCCGCCGCTAACAAGTGATTTTGGTTCGTTGCTCTGATCACAATCCGCCAATTTGCTACCGAAGAAATGATGGTTAGCACGAATTGCTCAATTGTGGGCAGATAATTGGTCATATGGAACTCAAGGTTTGCCACCGCGGGTAAAGGGGGTGTACTTACTATTCGACACCATCATACTTGAATTTCTGACCGCATGGACTTTTAACCAACAGGCCAAGGGTGCGACTGTTTGGGCATGCTGATTTTCCCTCCACCCAGACGACCCAATGGTTGGCTTGGTCGTTGTTCTGGAGCTGTTGGCCGTATCCGATCGGAACATATGCTGAGGCGAGTCCGGATAGGAGTGCGACAGAGAGGGCACAGGTCTTTAGATGCATTTTGGAGTTTTTGGTTCTACGAAGTATTCAAATTTGAACAGTTGGTTGGTTATGGCTCTGCACGAGATGGTAGTCGACTATAAGGGGTATGGGAAGAAACCCCTTTATATACCATATGACCCTCTTCACTCGCTACGAAATCGGACGTGGTTTCAGTTCACCTGAGAACTGCCAAGGACTTTGCTGCATTTTTTTATTAGTTCATTGGAATGCAGTGAAACAGTTACTACTTTATGCGGTCATGATCGCGAGACACTTTGTGGACTTCTGGAAGGGGGATGATAATCGTAGCTCTGCGTTTATTACAACCCGAGCGGCAGTCATGGCAACACAAATCTGACTAGATACTAGATTATAAGTTAGTAAATAGAAGTATGTTTGAAGTACTTGCGTAACCGCATTAAATCGAGGCGTTGGTAGAGCTGGAGACAATGTCTCATTTACAGACGATGCGGGGAGCCCCCGTCGTTGTGTGCAGTTCTATGGACGATGTGGTTACACTTTGTGCCACAGCTAGCTTACGATCTACCCCTATTTTACTTACCTGTACAAAAATTGTGTGACGCTCGTAATGGCGGAGTAAATCATCAGTGCCCGAGCCTTTGTTCATTTTTTTATGTCTTTATGAGGCAGTGCTTTCCTTGTTATGGTCCTGAAGCGTTCCATAGACGCTAACATCTGATGTTAAGGCCAAAAGCTCATGGGATACTATGACAAACTAAAGTAAATGGATAGAAGGAATATATTACTAACTGTCACATTTCAAGGGGACGGCTTGAAAGTGCGGTTATACATTGTAGGGGGACATATGCCATGTACTAATGTCATTCACGGCTGCCAAAACGCCAGAGCCTCTCGTTCTTTTCCCACCTTGCTGCCCGTGGTAAATCGATACATCATGGGGATTTTATTGGCGCTTGTTGTAGGCAAATATAAGCCGAGTGTTCCTAGCGTTGTCCTCACTTATATCTGAAGTCATAGTAATCTCAAACTCCCCCCCCCGGAGTAGCATCTTCATCGGCTCCAAAAGGTAAAACATAGCCCAGGGTTCATCTTTTTTGCTGCTCGTGGGGAATTCTATGCTGATATGAAGAGACTGGAGATGAGTATTGTTCTGTAGTTCGTGGCAAAACTTTACCATTGCAACATGAAGAGATGTGTGAAAAGGCTCGTCCCCAGGCTTGACTCGAACATGTAGATTTTGAACAAAGTCAACCAGATCAGTTGATAGATGTTCAATAGAAACGCCCCAAGAAATATCTTCACGGCCGGGTTTGATATGTTTGTATGCAAAATCTCGAGATTCCGTATCAATTTCGATGCCAAATAGTTGAGACTGGTAGATCAGAGGAATAACCTCCTTGTAGATCAAAGCCGATGTGGCCAATAATCCCAATCCTGAGTTCGGCTCCCCATGAGAACAAGGCTCGACAGAGATGGCATATTCATATATGATCTTGCGCAACTCTTTTGGCAAAGTACCCAAAACCCCTATAAAACCGCACCGTTGAGTTAGCTTAAATATAAAAAGCCGCACCCGTTAGATTTGTGGCCACTAACCAAGACTACGACCTGGGAAGTTTGCGCCATAAACCTTGGTCTTCTTCCATGAAAGCGCATCTTGTGGATTGGCCTTTCGCTTTGGACTCAATTGTCCAGGTTGCCCGTGTTCCTCGGGATGACCAGGGTTCCTAGGATGCTCTGGATGCTCCAATTGCTCGGATTTCTTCGGTTGGTCAGCTTGGTCTGGCCCATCCAATTCATCATCAAGGATGATAGAACGCTCAAAGTCTATCAACATGACGCGCTTCCTCTCAGAATTCCAAAGCATATTGCGCCTACGGACGTTGGGGTAGCAGACAGCTTTTCGCATCTGACTTAACAGGTGCTTTTTCACATTGTCGGTCGACCAGATGTAAATGTTCTTGCGCACAGAAGCCCAGTCCCTACTGTCTTTGAACACGTCGTTGTGAATGACACCCCTAAGGATCACTTCTTGCAGAGTCCGGTTCACCTCGAGAATTGGCACCTCCGTTTCAGGAATCGTATCACCAGACCACGACATCAACATCATGTGCACAATCTGGTCTGCGCCTATGGCCCATCTTATGACCAAGTCAACGTCGATGCTTCCTAAGTATACAGGCACTGACTGGCCCTGGAGACTCTTGAGTCTGTGTTCATAGACTAAAGCTTCATGTTGAAGATTCAAAACGAACTCTGACGTGGTCCCTTTACCCACAAAAACATACTCGTAGCGTGGCAACATGAGTTTGAAGAGGGTTCCTGTGGTGCCATTCATGTTTAAACGTACAGAATAAACACCTGTGGACTTCGCAAGATCTTGGGCAAGATCTTCTCGAGCTAATCGGGTGAAGGCTTTCTCGTCGATAGGGTGGTGGATGCTGCCCTCAGATACGCGGTGTGATGCTGTGTTTGGACAACTCTCATCGAGGTTTGATCCTCTCTTGAGTCCCAAGAGGCATGCCTGGGTACAGTATTCTCGGCTTAATAGTCGCTCCTTCGGCGACTTATTTTCCCAAAGGACCAGTTCTTGTTTATTCCCATCCAACTGTCCAGCTCCTTGTGATCCTGGACCAGAGCCACCATTTGTACATGTTTCACCCTGGAAACCCTCTGTGGCGCCCATAACTTCAATTGCTTGTGATTCCGGGTTTGACAACTTGTTTTTAGTGTCGCCTGGAGGGGTAATCTCTCGGGAAACGATAGCGATCTGTGAGGCATCGTTGGCCTCAACTCCTCCTAACTCTGTTCCAAACTGATCTATATCTGTATTTTCCTCGGCAATCTCCGGGGTGTTGACAGCCTGAACGTCGCATGTCTTTGAGTTAGGAGGATCATTTGCTTCGGCGCCCTGGGCAATCTCCAAGTTTCCCATTGTTGAGATTCATCCTGGCTCATATTAGTACACCGCAGGAACCGGTGGTCAAATTGCTGTTAGTTTCATACTAACAAAGTTTCAGGAGATATGTAAGGTAAGAGAAAGTTCAATAGTGAATGAAGCCGATGGTACAAATGGCAACACGAGGGCAATGTGTGAAAAAGTTGGTGCTAAAAGAGTACATAACAAGATCCTCACAGTTCACAACCAATACAGAGATCGTAGAATTTGTGGCCCCTTCCATGCTCGATAAATTTAATTAATCTACTATTGGCAAACAAAGAACAAAGAAACAAAGAACGGAGTATATTATGAATAAGGGAGAGTAGTGTATAGTTCACTCTCTCGCTGTGAACTACTGCAGATAAAAAATAAAACAACACGAGTATGAGTAGAATGAAATGAAAGATAAGAGACATAACTAAAATATACTTGGAATAGTATTGAGTGCTTAAACTCAAGCGTTTACACTTGTAAGTATGAAAGAGTTGTTCTCATAAGTCGTCACCGACATTTCGTTAATATGTTGATGACTAAACCACGCTAGTCCTAATTAGTAAGTACTCATAGATGCAATACTTCTGTGTATTCTGACTGAACTCATATGCTAATTCGAGCTATCGCAGCGATAATTACTCATCGATGAGTATACATGCTAAAACCTCGGGCTTAATTTTGGACATCTTGTTGAGTGAACAATACAGTGGCTGCTTACCGTTGTGGATAATGTACGTACAGCTCATCTTGCACACCCCTGGTACCTCATCCCAAGCTTAGCTTTGTGCTATCACGACCACCCATCAAATCCCGGAATCCTACACTACCCGCCATCTGATCCACTCATACCAAAGAGGGAATAATTGATTATATGCCTAAGAGCCAAAATCTCCCCATCCGTCCAACACCGTGCGCGGATCAGCAATCTCCCGGGTCGAAACGAAACAATGCACAGCCGCGGGCGGTGTGGCGCATTCTGGCCCCTCGGGCGCGTCACGATCCGGACAGGGGAACGGTAAACAAAACGGCTGCCGTTGGCTCGCTTGCGCTTGTGCTGGCGGCTGGGATATTTTTGGATTGGGGCTTTTCTCACGTCAGCGGGTGCTGGACGAATGGGAGATTTACCTTTGACGTGGGATGGGCTGATGGGTCGAAGATTTGATGTAAACCGTTGGTGAGTTTTTGCGAGATGGGATGAGAATAGATTCGGTTGTTGTCGCGCTGGCCTGGGCGGAGGCGCGGTCAGCGTATATTGACAGTGGTAAGTAAGTAGGTGTTGAGTATATAACTCTCCTGTTGGTCCGCCGGTATCGTATCTTTTTGTTTCATCATCATCAGCTTCTTCATCTACTCTCTCAGTCTTCTCAGCTTTTCTACAGCGCATCATTTCCTGAATTCAATCATTTGATTCTTATTCTCGTCTCACCTCACCAATCACCACCACAAACCGCCAAAATGCAACTCACACCATTCCTCGCCGCAGCCATACTCTCCCTCACATCCACCACCATCGCCACGCCCATCTCCCAGAGGGACTACTCCACCCTCTCCCTCTCTGCTCAGCTCTCGCTCGCCGACACCTCCGCAGACCGCATCGCCCTTCTTCCCGATCACGCCTCCTTCCTCTTCAACTTCGATGTTAACCGTGGCAAAGGCGGCCTTGGGGGCGACATCACCCTCGCAAACCGCAAGACATTCCCAGCCCTTGTAGGCACACAATCTGCGATGGCTGTTGGATTCCTCGGTCCATGCGGATTCAACACCCCTCACGTTCATCTCCGCGGTACCGAGCTGCAAGTCGTAACACAAGGCACAATCCACACCGAGATGATCGTCGAGAACGGCGTCTTCACGACCGCCGGCGACGCCAAGAGCGGGCGCCGCCTGATCCAGAACGATGTCAACGCCAACCAGATGACGATCTTCTACCAGGGCAGTGTGCACACACAGTTCAACACCGGGTGCGAGCCGGCTACATTTGTGGCGAGTTTCAACTCGGAGGACCCGGGCACCGGGCAGGTGGCGGAGGAGCTGTTCGCGTTAAGCGAGGATGTGGTCAGCGCTGCTTTTGGACAGGCGGTGGATGGAGCGCAGGTTGATGATTTCAAGGGGAAGATTCCAGCGAGCATTGCAAAGGGGGTGGAGCAGTGTTTGATCACTTGTAAGATTGCGAAGAGGAGCGCTAGTGCTTAGGCGATGGATGGTTGGAGAGAATGGTTTGCATTGCATCGGTGTTTGGATATAGTATTTATGATTGAGTAGATAGACTGTTAATTGATTATTGTAATAAGTTATATACTATGTTTCTGGCCTTCAAATGAGCCCCAAAGCTCGTAACAATACTTACTCGAATGATGAAATTTCCGCATGGTCGTTCGTTTGTCGCATAACTTGATTCCCACCATCTTTGTATCTACAAAGATAAAGCCTCCCTCCTACTTTTGCTGTTTAGATCCAGATACGGTGCTTCGCCCAAGGAACAGACTCGATCACCAGCTCTGGCAGCTTCGTAATCATACGTCGCACAGTGCCAGTTAGATCTGTTGTCCCAAATCGCGAGGTCGTTTTTGTTCCATTTCACTCGCACTTGCGCATCGTGATTCTGTGTAACAATGTTGAAAAGATAGCCCAGGAGCAGATCTGACTCGTCTTTTGTTACGCCGTTAAGGCGAGTTGTGAACCCTTTATTTACGAATACTGACTTCCACCCCGTGACAGCTGTAAAGAGTGAGTTGGCGAGTTCCATAAATTCTTTGAACACACTTACGGTTGGTACGAATAACGGGATGCTCGGCTTGGAGCTTGGAACCAAAGTTCAGCGGCGAGCCACGGATGCCATCTCGAAGAGGATTCCCAAGCCGCTCTGCTTCATCAAGGAAGAACCTCGCATCGTGGGTTGCAGTCAAGCCCTCTAGGAATGTCTGCATTGCTGGTGATAGGCGGTCATAGATTTCGTATCCAGAGGCCCAAAGCTGTGGTCTTATTAGTTACAGATCTTCAAGTTGACACGTGAAAGGCGTACCGTGTCACCACCTGAGGCGGGCAGGGTGTGGATTTTAAGCATAGCATAATCAGATGACACGGGTTCAAAGGTAATATCCGAATGCCATCCAGCACTGGCAAAGCGAGATACGTCGCTCAGCTGATGAGTTAGTCCGCCGCCCTTCTTTTGCTTCTCGCTGCTAATGACACTGATCTGGTCACCGAGCTCGCTACCAGCCTCTGTTAACGGATGAATATGGAGGCCAGATGATTCAGGCTGTAGAAGGATTAACTTGGGAATGGATCTATAGTCTTTGGAAAGACTTACTGCCCCTCCGGCTTGGGTAATCCTCTCAGCAAGCTCTTTCATTTGCTGCGGGGTAATATCTTGGGCCCGGAAAACGACGACGCCACGTTCTGAGACTTGATATCAAAACCACGTTAGTAGGGGTTATATGTGTATTGATCCAAGCCTGTCTTACTTGTGATAGCCAAATCATCGATGAGCTGCTGGTCAGCTCCAAGGAAGTCTACAACCTGAACGCCAGTGAACTCTCTGCCAATAACTGGTGTTAGATCCGCATGGTTAAATTTGTCAAGGGAACCAGAGTTAACGAGAGGCTTGAGACATCTAGTCTGAGCCTCAGTATTGCCTCCGCGAATGGTAGCAGTAATTCCGGCTGGAACGATGGCCTCTTGGGAAGGCATTGTGACGAAATAGCTTTCTACAAGAGATGCTCTGGATCAAATGCGATATAACTCGTGGAAATACTAAATGACAGATAAGAGAAACGTGCTCAATGCGTGGCTTTCACTGTGGTTTGAGCTGTTCATGTGTTGAGTCGAGAGAATGGTGGTGTCAAGGGTCGTTCTTGACGATATCAACCACATTACGAATCACCCGCGCCAAATTATAATATTCAGAAGCGACAGCTTCTCCGGCGAAACTTGCGGAGTGCATAGACACATTTGAAATAGCTTTACCACGAAATGGGTATAAATTTTCTCCTCATTGACAGCGAAGTGGTATCGCTGACCCCCCCCGGAGAAATTCTCGGAGTTGAAGCGAATCGGGAATCGCGGCTCGGGAGCATGGGGCCCGACTGGCTCCCCCTCCGCTTTCTAACCTCTATCGAACAGGCTTCGCACTTTGTATTATCCCAGCGTTCTTGAACAAGCTCCGTGTCTTTGCAAGGGATGGAGGTATCACGCGATTGTGGACAAACATGGCGTATATTCTCATTTGCTAACGATTTGGTGCCGAGGTGTGTTGGTTCGTCGACGCACCGCGTGTTGCGACTTTGTATATAGTTTGAACAAATGCCTCCACATATCATTGACCTATCGCTGACGTTGACATCCAACGGTGAACCTTAAATATTTGAGAGAGTTTTGATAGCGCGGTTTTACTTCGGTTTTTCAGCCCATTTATCAAATGGAGAAGGATATTGCTATTCAGAGGACAATCTCAGACAACGGGGAGCCATATACGTCTAAGATATCGGCAGTTCGAGTTGGGCGTGAGAATCTTTCAGATGCTCTACCTCCCCACGAGGACTATGAGGGACGTCACAGATATGATCCGGGTGCCACGTGGACTCCGGCTGAGGAGAGAAGGGTAATCTTGAAAACAGACCTTTATCTTTTGTCGTGGATTTGTGTCATGGTATGGTGATAATTAATCCCCACTGCGTCCCCAGTAACTAACTGGCTTAGTTCGCGGGCCTCCAACTTGATCGCGGAAATCTGTCAAATGCAACAGCAGATAATATCCTCGATGATTTGAACCTCACCAGTGATGATTATAATAATGTAAGTTGCCTTTCTGAGGAATTAAGTTTCAAAATTCTCACAAAACCTTAGGGCACAACGATTCAGCTTCTTGCCTTCATGGTTTGCGAATTCCCTGTCCAAATTCTGACCAAGAGATACGGATTTAAACGTATCTTACCATCCATGATGATTTGCTGGAGCTTAGTTTGTAAGGCCTTCTGAACTAATAAAAGCTTTAACGACAGCTAATACTCCACAGCATGGGCTCAATCGTGGATGACCAATAGAACGTCGTTCTACATTACCCGGGCCCTTATCGGAGCATTTGAGGGTGGTTTTATTCCTGGTACTATTCTCTTCGCGACGTACTTCTATACGTCCAAGGAGTTATCTATTCGCCTCGCCGCATTTTGGTCGACTCTTAACGTTGCGAGAGTTATTTCGGCACTCCTGGCCGCTGGGATTCTCGAACTGCGTGGAACCAGTGGAAAGCCCGGATGGTTTTGGCTGTTCCTGATTGAGGGCATTTTAACTTTCGTGATTGGTATTATCGTGAGAAATCCCATGCGCTCACTTTTTCGATGGGCCATGAGCTAACTTTTATTAAGAGTTTCTTCTATCTCCCCAGTTCACCGACGTCAACTTCCGGTGTTATTTGGAGAAAGCCATGGTATACTGAACGAGAAGAAATTATCATGATTAACGTAAGTTCAACAGAATGTAGTGGTAACCGTTTCTAACATTCGTAGCGCATCTTACGAGATGATCCAGCCAAGGGCCTCACAGCTCTAAAAGAACCAGCCACATTTGCGGATATCAAGAGAGCTTGGAGCGACAAGTCAATGTGGGGACTCTACTTCGTCGGACTTGTAGCTTATATTCCGGCAACACCAGTCCAGGCATATCTCACACTTACTCTGAAACGCCTCAACTTCACCACATTCAACTCCAACATGCTCACCGTGCCATCGGCAGTCATCCAAATTATCACCATGTTAACTCTATCATACAGCAGCGAATTTTTCAACGAGAGAACTTTCCATTGTTTTTTCGGCGAATTTTGGATCCTGCCGCTTCTTGCTGCTCTTTTAACTCTTCCTGATGGCGGAAGAGAGTGGTCTAGATTCTCACTGATCACGTTGATCTCTGGCTGTATTTATCCCTCGTCCTACATCTGATTTTTCTTTCTAACGTACTTATAGATCCCTACTTTCACCCCATCGTCTCAGCGTGGATCTCGGAAAATACATTTGACGTGAAGAAGCGCGCCATTACCGCTGCGACTTACAATGTCATTGTCCAGGTGGGGTCACTTATCGGATCTCAGATATATCGAAAATACGACTCGCCGTACTACAAGCAGGGAAACAAAGTCCTGATATCTATTTGCGCTCTTTCGTTGTTAACGTTTGTTGCACAGAGACTGTATTTGCAGACTCTGAACAAGAGGAAGGCGGCAGTTTGGGACGAGATGACTGTTGAGGAGCGATCAATTTATCAGGCAGACGCTACAGCGAGAGAGGCAGATGGGAATAAGAGGCTTGATTTTAGGTTCCAGTATTAGGTAGTTAAAGTAGTCGGAGATTGAAATAATAATGGTGTAGCAGAAATCTAATATATAAGATGAGCTATGAATAAGATATGTTCGAGCGCAACTGTGACCTAAAGGTATCTTTATAGTATAATTTATACATAAAAGGTACTTGTTCTCAATACAATTCTTCTACGTGTTAATTACCACATAAATTAGTAGAGAGAGCATATTTTATTAATTAGCCTTTGTATAGGTTTCAAAAAAAACAAGAATCGATAGAACATATATACAATGTGTAAATGCACTGGCAATGAAAATATTAATTGGTATTGAGAATAATTAACTTCTTAAAATAAATACCTTTTCCGTATAAATTATATTGTCAAGCTCGCTGAGATTCCTGTTTAGGACAGTTAACTGGCAAAAATGCAAAAAAAATCGACACCTGAGTGATTCGAACACTCGCTCCCGAGGGAAATGCCTAAATACTTCCCGTGGAAATAGCAGGGCATCGCGTTAACCACTCCGCCAAAGTGCCGGATTTATTTCACGAATGGCCGGCCCAACGTTGAACTTTAAAATCCATAGGTAGACCGCCCATTTTATCAAATGGCTCAGTTACGGTTGGGCCCGAATAGTTACGCGGCGCCGATAGATATGACGTCGGAGTTTAGAAGCTTGAGTGACTTGACAAGCGGTAAAGACCCTGGCTCCACCAGTAATGTGGCCAATCCCCAACTTTAGTTCCAGCCCCTGTTCTAGACTAGACCCCTGGTTCAACCCCGCACTCCGCGTCAATGGCCAAAAGCACGACATTGTGCCACCATCACGACATCGGCGTTTTTTCATGAGGTTTGGAATATGCAAGTCATAATGCCTCAGCGCGATGGGGGAGCGAAAGATCGGCAGACGCGCCTGCAATGGGTGCAAGATCCGCAAGGTCAAATGCTCAGAGGTCCCACCATGTAAAAGCTGCATTAGCGCTCGCATCGAATGCACCTTCACGGAGCGCCGGGGAAACCGCGGACCAAAAGCTTTGAGGCCAAAAACGCTGATATCGATTGCTCAAACACAGCAGAAAGGCTATCCTAGTGTGGAAGATGAGGGTTCTTTCGCAGATGAGTCTCCGGAAAGTCGGATGGATGTTCCTGCTTCGCCGGGTCCCTCAATGTATGCTCCGCAAAGCCACTACTAAACGTCGCCGACTGATGGCATAGTGTACCGTCGTCCATACCTCCCGAGGTTCCGCTTAAGACTCCGAGTTCGTCCCTTATAGTGCAACTATGTGTATATCGACTTCGTTTATACCCAATATGGCCGATCGTGGCGGTAGAAGAGATAATGGGGTCGTTGCAGGGAGACGTGCAAGACATGGAGATGTATGCTCTCGCAAACGCAATAGGGGCGGCAACTATTGCCCAGCTGAAGCTAAACCAGACGGGAATAAGCACAGCTACCGGAAGTTCAATGGCAGAAGAATGTCAGCGAACGAAGCTTATGGGTAAGAACGGACAGAGTGCAAACCTAAACATCCTGCGAATAGCGTTTTTTCTTCATATCTATTATGAAAACCAGGACCAGGGTGGAGTCAAGTCTCTGCTATTTTTGAGGGAAGCGATTACGATTGCGCAGATTATGGGGTTGCACCGAGAGTCATCCTATCTATCACTCCCTCCGTCAGAGCAACAGCTACGACGACGCATTCTTTGGTTGCTGTTTGTAACAGAAAGGTACCCTTTCTTGTTTCGTTTTTAGAATCAACCCTTTAACATTAAACAGGGGCGTAGGAATACTCTACAAACTTCCAGTTATCTTAAAACCTAATGTGCTCTTCCCAGCAATGGATGGCGACGACGAGACACAGATCCTGCCTGCTTTCCAGAAACTTGTGGATCTCTTCTGGACATTTGATCAGTCGCGTGCCTTCGAAATACTTGAGGGCTCGAGTGCAGACGTGTTCGAAACAGGCGACATGGAGTCAGCCCGCCAAAACTCTCTCTACGCTCTTCACAAAAAGCTACAAGAGGTCTCTCTTGACTGGGACTCTAGCAGCGAAGTCCAACGCGCCGATATATGTGTCACGCGTCAATGGATGCGTGCTGTTCTGTGGAAAGCATCAAATAATTATGAGAGGCTAAACAAAGGGAGCAGAATAACCTCTCTGGACCATCCAATTCAGATCGCGAGGGAGTTCCTGGGCTTTATATCGCAGCTTCCCAGTACAGCACTTGAAGCTCATGGACCAACTATGGTACGTGGACATGCCTATCACATATTTACCTTCGCTAATATTGAAATAGGAAACGAAAATTTACGAGATCGCAAGTACAGTGGCGGATGCAGTTGCCAACAATGACACAGTCTCGTGGATTTCGCCTTATCGGCCAATAGACATACTCGCCCAGCTTCAACGGATACTTGCGTCGATAAGGGGTGGAAACGAAGCACTTGAACGGATGCTGTATAGCAAGACAGCTTGCGTTCAGGGTAATCTGTTGATGCTCGTGGAACCAAGCTCTCTCATAGAGGACTTGGACGACGAATGGCTTGAGAATAATACGCTCTTTCCGAATGATCCATTCTATCTAAATTTAGGGCCTATTTCTACGGGAGACGCTGAAGCTGAAATGATGTCAGGCTAATCAGCCAGACGATGGATAGGTTATATAAGTTACTGTCCTACATCGAAGACTCAACTCAAGAAATCAGCATTGTGGGACATGCTGGGCACATTCTCGGTTTATAGCGCACTAGTTTGAGTCATGACTAATGTTTATCTGACCCGTGTTCACCTTCAGCAGCCCACATTCCACGCACAACTCCTCGATTCACACAAGAGATCAGAGCTGCTGGCGCAACTGGCTCTAGAAACTATCTGGCCTCACTGTGCAGCAAAGCATGTTCACCCTCAAACGCAGAACTTAGTCCAGGATCCAAGATTGCAGGCAACAGTCATGACCTCTTCGCCGGTGAAACAAGGCAGGCAGCTATTCATCATCCGTTGATGAGCCTCTGTAGGAAGTGGTACTGAGAAAAGAGCACAGTGATCCCGAAGATAAACTCCTGCAAAGGCCTGACACAAGTTGAAACCGTCCAGCACGTTTATACTGGCTGTGGTGCTTCTGCCGTAGCATGTAGCTAGCTCTTCTTCAAAAATGAGAATAAGGACGAAGATTTGGGTTTCGTCTCAACAACTTCAAGGCTACCGATCTGTAGTTCTTCCCTGTGCTTATTCAAGATTGCATCTCTGTGATACTTCTGGAATTTCTTTGTGGCATCTTTGCCACTAACAGTTTGCATGACTAAACAGAATCAGCAGATGTTTTATCTGACTTTAGAAAATATGAGGAAGTCTTCATACCCTTTTTACCGCCTGGATGCGTGTCTTGGAATTTTGTCACGTCAAAGACGTCGTTGTTAATAATAATCCAAATGTCATCAGCCTTGTTATGCGATGCAACATCACTCTGAGAAAATACTTTGGACATGGTAGATTGCCGAGCCTGCTCTTGATGGGTCGAGAGATATATCCGAATGCAGTGATATGCTGTGCTGGTGTAAGTACAAATTTAAAGACGGGGACAAAGAATAAATATAGTATAAACAGGCATCGTTCCGCGGAGGAATCATTACGCGCGCATGTGCATGTTGGACCCTTTGTTGTCGAATCCTTCATTATACTTTGCCAAGTGTCACGTTGGCTCAACCCTTGCTCTCGGTTCATAATTTGTAGGCATAGTATTATTTCAAAGCATAACCTCGGCAATTGCAGACCAGGCAGAATTTGCCCAAATAAATAGAAATGTATTCCCGGATCCATTTTCTCGATCAGTTATACACACGATGGAAAGATCAGGATTTCGTAATTTCGCTATGAAAGCTATGTACATACGCAGTTCGAACTGCGGGTATTTCCCATGGCCAACTCATTAAACCGGGTATCCAGCTTGACGACAAAACAAATTAAAATGCTATGGTTTCATGATTTAGAACCCGGCTATCGCGGTCAGATTCTGCAGGAGCGGAATGATATTGGTCACATTGTACCCAGATGCAAAAGGTATGGCTGTGCCACCGTTGCCACCTAACACTCCTGTCAAGCTGTCCATTAGAATGGACAACAATGGAAACTGTGTGGTCAACACGAGTGCATTCAAAACCTTCTCGTAATAGTCGATGTGGTGACCATTGTAGATGGTCGAGTTTCCTGACGCCGACATTTCGATGTTTCCGCTTGTGAGAGCGCCCACCTGGGATGACAGAATCGCAGGTAGATTCATAATAGCCGTCTTGAGATTGACTACTCCCCGAGCTGAAACAGTGTTGTTTCCAGGAACAAGGTAAACATTTTTCATCGTGGCGTTTCCAAGGAGAATCCCGCCAACGATAATGTTCAGTGTCACATTCCCCTAGAAAAACGGTTAGTCAAACGACGCGGCAGAGGGGAACAGGATGGCTTACAAGTTCAAAAGACACCAGAGATGCGTTAGGAATGGTTAGTTCGGCAATAAGGTTTGTTCCGTCTGCCTCAGCAGGTAAGACAGCACGAGCACTCGCAATGCCAAAGCCCTTCAACTTGTTAAGACCTAATTAGGGTCTTAGCAAACTTTCATATTGTGCCACATTTCAAGGATTATGAATTGGGAGCTCTTACCTTTTAGTTCCACCTTTTTGTCGAGGCTGATATGTGCCTTGAGTTTGCCCACATAAGCATCTGTTGCGCCTGAAGCTGATAGAATGAAGGTTTCTTGATAAACCGCACTGTGCAAAAAGGTTCCGAATATTTCTTTGTCTAGAATATTGGTTGTCTGGTTTGTGACGGTTATAGTTGCATTACCCTTCAGATTTTGTTCTGGTAGCTGGACTGTGATATACGGATTGCGGTTTGGTGGATTTTGATCCACCAGCAAGTTGAGCGCAATGGGTTTGAGCTTGACTGAGAATGGTTTCGGAACATTCAAGCCAGCGAAGAGGGAATACTGAACGCTATCTGGAGTTGGATTGGTGATGCTCGCTGAGTAAATGGGGAGAGAAGCATCGTCGACCATCCTCTGGGCAATCGCAGGGAACACGATTAGGAAACTGTTTCGTCGTTAGTCCTGGGTCATTTGTTAAGGGGGCGGAAGGAATATGTAGCCAGAGAAAGATAAATATGCCCCATTGCTTGATGCAAAAGATGGCAACGTCATAGAACTCACAATATTGGGAGGAAGATTGCCAAAAAGATAACACCACCAAGGCCATATAAGCACCAATGCCGCTTATAGTGAGCCCAGAATCTCGCAAAGCATCCTCGTTTCTTGGCAGGATGAGAATCCTCTTCCATCACACCGGCATTCTCAATCTGCTGAACGCTTCCTCTACTGGTCTTCTCTTTGCCAGAACGGCGACCGGCAGTGAAGTCTGGTCGGTTGGCGCCAATGACATGACTAGTCTTCTCCTCAATCGAGTCTTTTCCAGTGTTACCCATTGTGGGAACTTTTCCAGCTTCAGACTGCAATCCAAGAGGCCCGTCTTAGCTTGAGACTACGATCCGGGAGCTCCAGCTTCCATGAAATTTGCACAAGAGCTGATAAGCACAGGAGCAAATTTACACAAAATATAGGATGGGATGAAAGTAAAATTGCAAAACCCTGTAACCATGTCGTGACACAGCCCCGTTTTGATACATTTTGATAATGCCAGTTCCCCCCACCCCATGCCGCCTCCCCCACGCATGCACGGACACCTACTTCGGCATGGAGGGATCAACATTAGCATTATGCCTTTAGACACAATTTACCCCATAATTGGTACGTACCAATAGTGCGGGGTTCGGTTACAAACTCCTTGAACAAGACTCGCTATCCACATCCCATCCACATGTAAGGCGGGGTCCGGTTAACACCCTGAGGGGCCGTTGACAGGGTGCGCTATGTACGGGACGCCTTGGCCACATGCGCTCTCAGAATGGAAAAGATCCCATCCCAACTAGAATTTGCCGGCGCCTACCGAATGCTGCCGCGATAGGCGTTTCGTAGCCTTGTGACAAAGGTAATTTCAAGTTGCTCTGAATATATAACTGTTGTGAAAGTGTTCCTGTAAATACTGCCGTGCTTACCTCCCTCTCAACATCCAGCCTGTTTCGTAATTTAGTGCAACGACCCTTATTTCACAGTTATACATTTCTATGCAAGCACAAACTACCTACCACGCTATGACGACCGACGTGTTCGTTGCCCCAGAAATGTCAGGCCCGGCTGACACCATCAACGAGAAAGGCGCCTTGGCGGCTACGGATGCCTTGGACAGCAGAACAATGACCCCAGGGAGCCCCGAGAAGCAAAGTCTGGCAATTGGGAAGACCCGCAAGAGGTTAGACCCATTGGATCCGTCATTCCAGCCCAAGGAGATGCAAAAAGTGGTCCAAGAGGCCATTCTTCTTGCGGGTGGCGCGGTCGCAATCCTGCTCCAGGTCGCCAACCCCGGTGTGGGTCGGGGAGTCAATGAACACAGCAACTTCGCGTACAGGCCTGTGGATCGCCTGCGGACCACCATGACGTATGTTTACTGCATGGCGTTTGGTTCTGTGGACGAGAAGAAAACCATTATTGATATGGTCCACCGGGCTCATGCCCCTGTCCAGGGGGCAACTTATTCCGCAAACGATGTCGACCTTCAGCTGTGGGTTGCATCGACTCTGTACGCGGTAGGGCTCGATATCACCGAAAAGATTTTTGGAAAATTTGACGACGCTAAGGCCGACGAAATCTACCAGGAGTACGCTGTTCTGGCCACGACACTGCGAGTGCCCCCGGAGATGTGGCCCGTAGACCGGAAAGCGTTCTGGGAGTACTGGGACCGCAGTATTGCAAGCTTTGAAATTTCAGCTCACGCTATCAGTGTCGGCAAGGATCTTCTCTGGAACAAGGAGCTCCCATTGTGGGCTAAGATTAACATGCCTGCGCTGCGTCTGATGACGGCAGAATGGTTGCCACCGCACATGCGAGACGCGTATGGTCTCAAGACTTCAAAATCCCGCAAGAGGGCTTACAAGGTCTTGTTGGGGGTCACCAAGACGGTTTACCCTCAATTACCTATGTTCATTCGAACATACCCGATGAAGTTCTACTTGAAGGATATGCGCCGAAGGATGAAGAATATGGCTTAGTCATGGGCACTTCTGCCCCTCTTTCCTTATTTTGGTATTATTTCAAATTGTATATCTTTTGTTTTTGTTTTTATTGCGTGGGAATGGGAATGCATACATAGTAGTATATAGAAACCTTTTGATGATAAAATGATACCCGATTCTTTCTGTACAACGCAGGTGAATTGAAGAGTCTTAATTGTTATTGTAGTAAAACTTGATGAGTGATAACCGTCTTTCGTGATTACAATATGTCAAATCTTGCGCTCCTTATCAAAAAATAGCACTTTATTACTACGATATGTTAAGTTCTGCCTTTATTCCCAATAAAAAACTAATTCTGTTATTACATATTCATCTCAAGATCATAAAGCGTATTATCAATGTGACAGGGCTCGTATTATATAGCTAGTTGTATCTTCCCGAATTATTGACTTATATACTATGGAGTATGCTCCTCCAAATAGAATGGGCCCCGACATCTCGCATGATACCATGGCCCATGGCGACCATTCATCTCATCATAAACTTCCCACAAACCAGCTCGTTCGTACTCTATCCGCCAAGGATAGCGGAGAGAAGACCACCTATCAGTTGAGCGACGGCCGAGATCAACTGCGAAATGTTAGCAATAAACTATGCACCGAGAACTAACGCTTGAGACTTACAGGAGCAACATCGTTGATCAACCCGGTCGTCTGCTTGACGAATGTCGGAGTCAATAGGTTGTTTGCGTTGTTGATAAGTCCGCTGATCTTAGTGATAAAGTCGGGTGTAATGAGGCTGGTGAGCGATGGGAGGAGAGGGCCAGCGAGGAGAGTGCTGGCCGTGTTCAGCAGCGACTTGGTCTGGTTGGTGGTCTTGTCATCGAGGAGTAGCGCCAGATGGGTGATAACAGATTCGATGTTCGTGAAGGTTGCTGGCTTCAGCAGCGAAGTAATGGCACCAAGGTCCTGAGTGAGAGTTCCGAGCAGGCCACTGAGATCAACGGCCCTGTTGGTCAAATCCAAGGGAGCAGCAGCCTCCGCTTGGGAACCTTGGACTGCTGGAGACGCAAAGGCAAAAGGAGCCAGAACGAGGAAAGGAACGAAGCTGAAGAAGCGCATATTGGCGGTTTGGCTTGTCTACGAGGCTGTTTTGCGATTGATGGACTGGATTGTGCCTAAGTTGAGCTGATCGTGAAACTCTATTTTCCTATGGATACACTTGGATTACTTATAGCATTTAGGAGCAATTGTGATAACACCCAATTGTCCACTAGCACGCGATCTCGATGACCTTGACTCCGCATGAACAGGGGGTTCGGGTAAGAACTGCGGGGTTAGCCGATGTATTGCTGCAGGCGGGGTACCAACACGAGGGGTTCCCCACGGGGGAACCCCACAGGGTAGCCGTGCACTGACAGCTGCACAAGGAACTGTGCCTGGAACCCCCACTGCCAACTTATTGAATGATGCTTATTGCTACCCGGCGCCTAATTAACATCAAAGGCATGATCCAAGTAATACAACTAAAAACAAGAACACTTGCATACCCCGCCTGATCTCTTAGTCTTATAACCTCGGGTAGGCTTAGTTGCTAAACTGGGATTCACATGGAAAATCTCTGGAGAGCCGAATTGGTGGCAATTACCCTTGAAACTGAAGATTGCTGTACGTTAATAATGCACACATAATCCACACCTCCGTCGATCATGTTGGCGACCGTAACATCGACTTTTCTTACCTTCTATTTTTTGAAGTCGGTGGACTATACATTGTTGTAAATATCCTTTTGGCCCGCCTACTCGATCTTTATCAACATCGCCCATCATGTGGTCTAAGGCACTGTGCCTCTTGCTATTCACGCTCATCGCCGCCGTGGTGGCTCAGAATGAAGCAATTCATGAGGCTCGTGATGCCATGGCACAATTAGTGTATGTACTCTCCCCACTTGCGAAGAAATCGACTGACAATCACCTAAGTGCTAAATTATCATCCAAAGTATCTCTCATCACTGATGAGATAGCCAAGAATAAAAAGAGACAAGACGAAGGCTCCGCGTCTGATGCTCCCGATGCCATGTCACAATTAGTGTATGTACTCTATGCACTTCAGAAGAAATCGACTGACAATTCCTCAAGGGCCGCATTATCATCCAAGGCAGGTATCACTGGAAACGTTCCAATTGCAACTACCATGCCGACATGCATCGGAGGATTCGACCCGCCGGATGCCACACTTGCCCGGCAAATGCTCACTGCTATTCCTGGCAGCATCCTTGGTCAGCTTGGAAATGCTGGCGCTCGTAGCTCGATTGCCAGCGCATTCAAGGCCGGCCAGACCCCATCATGGTACAATGACTTGTCTCCCGAAATCAAGAACTACGTCCTGAGCGTTCAAACGCACGCCACTACCGGATGCACCCCTCGCCAAACCGACGACGGTACTGGAACCGGCGGTGCTGCGGGAGCAAACGCAAAAGTAGCAGGTGATAAGGGTGGCACCAGCACTTCAGAAGCCCTGGCTTCTCGGCCGACAGCGGCCATTGTTGGACTTTCTGGTGCTCTGGGTATGCTGGGGCTGATGCTTGCCCTATGACGTAGCGGCGATATGTGGTGTGTAATGGGTAACGAATGAGTTGGGAGGCATAGCATTTGATCGGCGTCTGTTGAGAAATGGAGAAAGATCAAAATCTGTAAAACCAGGGGTATGGTGATAGTACTGCACAAGCGTAATGTTAGGGGCATTAGGAACGGGACTAGGGCCACTAGATGACACATGGACCCATATGGACCCTTGGCTAGGCTGAAACCCACATGAGCATATTGCCGCTCCTAGATATCGATAAATCAGACTTTACCTCCACGTGCATCCTCCGTCGCTGCGAACTGTACCTATAATTAATGATTTGCAGTCTTCGTCGCTGCGAACTGTACCTATAATTAGTGATTTGCAGTATGCGTTTATGCATTGTGAAGTGTCCCATACAAACCCCGGCTGGCCTAGAACGCTGTAATTTCGGATTATCTCCTGATCTTCCGTGGACGTGGTTTCCGTGGGCGAAACAAGGCCTGGCTTTGCTTTGCTTGAGGCTCGTTGGTGTACATAATAACGTGCCAAGCTATAGGGGGTTCGTGAGGCACAGGGATCGGCGGGGTAATGCCAACCGACGGGACCCGCACTGACTCGACGTTGTCGAGTAAGTCAGCGGCGACACAGTACTTGATATAGCGACTAGACCTCTTGTCTAGCTTTGTTCTAATATTCTAGATCTTTGAAACTCTGGCTAAGTCTTCCTTTTACCATTTATCACATGTTCTAGTAAACTAGTCCAAGAAGAACCGTTGGTTATGGCCCTAAATGCGGGAACTTGACATATCACGTGACCACGCCCTAGCCGCTGCGGTCCTACCGAGCTAGTGGTTAGAGGGTCCGTGCCATTAGCGGTCCCCGCATGTATCAGGCTAAACCCCGCAAAATGAATTCTAATGATGCTCACTTCACATCTTACGCAACGTGTCTCTCGATTTCTTGTCTTTTTTTTTTGGAAATAGGAGCTCTTCATGGCTAGTAAGTCTTTTGAGGAGGCCCTCGCGGCAGCGGAGAGATTCGCAGAAGGTGAAAATGCTGGAAAGAGAGGCCCGTGGGACGAACTTGCGTCCTGGTATTGGGGTTTATGGGATGAGCTCGGCAGCACCATCTCGCCGGATGGCCAATATGGTCATGGAACACAGCACAATACGATGTACAACACCGAGCACAACATTGATAGTGGCAGCTCAGCAACAACCGAGTCTATATCTCAAGGGATGGGATATGGCTCAGGTCAGGAACAGCTAGTTATGGAGAGCAGGCCAGGCATCGACGAAATGGAAGGTTTGAGCCAAGATAACCCTTTTGACCTTCCCCCCAAATCCTTTCGCGACGAGCTTGTCATCCTCTACTTCAAGCATGTGCACCCCCTATGCCCAGTCTTTGACGAAGTTGAATTCCATAACGCCTATTATCGTAGAGGCGACATGGGATTCCTGAAAAGCATTACCTTGGTGGAGTTTAAGGCTCTATTATTTGCGGGCGCGATGGTAAGCTCATATTTGAGGGATTATAAAGCTCTATTAGCGGATTCTAATAGCCATATTAGCATCTCGACTACGAGCAGATATGCAAAACAAAATACGCCTCGATAATTGAGTGCCATAGCGACCTTTTTGAAGCGGCCAGAGTAAGTTCAGTTTTCCAATCTCGATAAAATACCAAAATAATAACAATATCCCGCTAGAAAACCTATCATTCATCCGCCAAAGAATCGCCAATTAGTCGTGCCAGAGCAGCCATCTTACTTAGCTTCTGGAGTCCTTTCAGTGCCGAGGAGCAGTCGAATTGCTACTGGGTCGACCAGGCATTTATACATGCTCGGGTAGCCATTCTGCAAGAGCTAGATTATGCACATATATCCGTCAGTCCTGGGCGAAGGAAGATTATCTGGTGGTGCTGCCAGCTTCGCGACTCCATGCTGGCATTTGCTCTTCGGAGGATCAATCGCCTGCATACAGAACCGTTGACTCAGATTATTGTGACCCCAGAAGATTTCGGTATGGAGTCAGCAGAGCCATGTTTTATGAGCCCTATTTCCAAAACTCTGTCAATCGACAACTTCATCAAGCAGTGCGAGCTTAGTCGGGTTATGGCGAGGATTATGATGTTCCAAGGAAGACTGGGATATGCGAAATACAATGATAGGCGTCGTAACGTCGATGTCAACGAGATCATGGAGGTAATATCGTTTCATTCCGAGGTCACAGCTTTGAGGGAGGACTTTGAATTCTCCCTTGATATATCTCGGAAGATGTCCATGGACAGGTGTGACGTGCCATGCCAACTATCCAAGATAATTGCAGAGTAAGTTGATGTGTTGAGGCGGTCCCAACTTTGGTCGAATATGGCTGACTTCAGCTTTTTGGCAGTTCGGTCATTGCGGTGCTGTACTTCCCATACACACACCTGAACCCTTATAACTATACCCTTCCGGCCAGCAAGTTTATTGAAGGTGCGGTGCAGGAGGTCATGGACTCGGCTTCACGTATAGCCAGAAGCGCGGAGGATTTGCTATCCCAGAGCGATAATAATAGCATCCCACTAGCACTGTGAGCAATCATTTTATCATAACCGAAGATGGGGCAAATGCTAATATTAACAGTGGGGCGTATATCACATTCCCGATTGTCCTCAAACTTACCCTGCTGGGAGATACAAGGAAGCCCAGCGACTCGGCAATAGATCTGCAAGAGATGCGCAGTCTCATGAGAGTGCTCTACATTCTCAAGAGCCGCTTTAGTGGTGGGCAGTTTGTTTCCAATGTCATTGATGCTGTTATCAAGCGCGTGGTTCATGGGGGCGATGACAACGAACCTGGGCGACTATTATCTCTTCTTCACGATGCTGCAGGCTATATCCAGGAAGATGTGGATCGTGAACTTGTAACCATTACTTAGGGTTGGGGTAGCATGGGTTGGGAGTTTTTTCGGCGTCTGGCGTTTATTTTATGCGCTAAAGCAAGTGAGCTATTGGATAGCTTCATCACGACACGACATGACATATTTCATGATTTAGTTATCGCAATGTTAGGTTACTGTTGCATCGAGCACTTCGGATGAAACCAGTCCTATGTATGCCATGGATGTCGTGCGTGAGCTTATCATCAGGGAGAGGATGTTGACCAATTGCCTCAGATACGTCAGTGCACCAGAGTAGTAATATCCCCCAAGGTACTGCCAAAAAGTCATCGTGCAGTTAACGCCATAGCTTCTTCTATGCAACCTTAAACATAATTATTTTATGCCCGTACTAAATCTGTAATGCTCACCCTCGGCAATCATCCTTGCAGGGTTCCCCTCGTTTTCTTCCCCAGACCCAGCCACCACCCCGCACCGCTGTCGTGCTTTACCCTATCAGTTTACCGTCAAAAACCTCGGCCATGGCAACCGAAGGACCTGTGATATCCACCCAAATCCACTCAACTTTCATAATGTTGTTCCTGATTACCAGCTCATTGACCCATTTTTAGGACATAATTATTCGATATCAAAGCAAGTTACACGTAGATTATCTTCAAATCAGCGTAGAGTTATCATTCAAATCGTCACTATGGTTTACCAAGCAGACCAAAACTACACCGTGCCTGACGTAGATGTCTTGTCCCTCCTGTTCGGTTCGTACCTGAGCTCTGTTTGCCACCTGGAAACCAAACCAATTAATTTATATTATAGACTCGAAACATTGTGACGCGGCTGAGGACACCAAGATTCATATTGAAGCCGGCAACGATGCCAACTCCGTCACTAAATCGCAAGCACGAGACTTGACCCAGAGAATCGCCCATGGACTAAGACGCAACTTCAACATTGGTGCGTCGGGCCCTGGTAAAGATGTTGTCGTGTGTATATCATCTGGCCAGCCTCTTCTACCGGTTTTCTTTTACGGAGTTGTCGCTGCAGGTGGCGTGTACTCTGCTGCGAGTTCATCCTTTACGACACCCGAATTGGCGCGTCAAGTTACTCAAGGAGGCAGCAACTTGTTAGTTTGCAGCCCTGACACCCAGGAAGTTGCCGTGGCAGCAGCGAAGCAGTGTGGCATTCCTCTCAACCGGGTGTTGTGTCTGAAATCCAGCCCGGAATGGGGCTTGACGTCACTTGGGAACAATCAAAACTGCATTTCTAACGAGAAACTCGATTGGAAGAGGATCACAAACAAAGAGGAGCTTGAAAATAGCCTTGTATGCCTTCTTTACTCGTCCGGAACCACTGGGCCTCCAAAGGGTTGTCTCCCCCATATATCCGCCCCTTGATACTTGAGCTAATCAGCCATACAACAGGAGTTCTTTTGTCCCATTCGAATATAGTATCAGCGGCCTTCATTACCGGCGAGCTCGGTAGAGAGTATACAGCGCAGCGCGGCACCCCATTCGAATACAGGACCCTCGCCCATCTGCCAGCCGCCCACATAGCTGGAGTTCAGGGGTATTTCATCAACCCATTCTACATGGGTGGCCCAGTATACTGGATGCCCAAGTTTGACTTCCAAAAGTTTTTGGACTTCAACAAGCGCTACCGAATCACCTTTTTCTTCAGCGTCCCTCCTATCTACCTCTTGATTGCCAAATCTCCAGCAGTAACAGACCAATTCGAACACCTGGAGATTGCAGTTAGTGGAGCTGCACCCCTCGGAAAAGAGCTTCAGTACGCGGCGAGTCAGAAACTGGGCAGGGGGACGACGTTTATAAGTCAGACTTGGGGATTGAGTGAGACGACTGGTAGTGTTACAGCAATGCCTTGGGGTATGAATGACGATACCGGCAGTGTCAGCCCGGTACTTCCTAATATGCAGTTGAGGTTAGTATTTTGATCACTTTATATATTTCGGTGTTAACTCTGAACTCTTAGACTTGTCGATGACGATGGAAAGGATGTTGCTGCGGGGCAACGTGGAGAAGTTCTCGTCAAAGGCCCTGTGGTCACCAGAGGATACCATAATAGCCCCAAGGTGACAGAGGAAGCTTTCGTTAACGGATGGTTCTTGACCGGAGACATTGCGGAGATACGTAATGGTTTAGTCTACATTGTGGACCGAAAGAAGGTAAAGCATATCAACCAATTTTCTCCGCAAAGTTCATGTACTGACATTCGCAGGAACTTATCAAATACAAGGGTCTTCAGGTTGCTCCAGCTGAACTAGAAGCTATCCTTCTCTCGCATCCGATCATTCTAGATGCCGCCGTGATTGGTGTCGAGCAGGACGGAACAGAAGTGCCCCGCGCATTCGTAGTTGTGGGCAAGAAAATCTCCGAGGAAGAGATCAAGTCCTTTGTAAAGTCTAAAGTGGCAAGCTACAAGCAGCTAAGAGGCGGCGTCGTTTTTGTGGATGCAATTCCCAAAAATGCGTCCGGAAAAATTCTACGCCGAGAACTGAGAGATGTTTCAAAGAAGACCACAGCGAAGCTGTAATATCTCCTAGCAGATAGTGTTTCCATAGAATGATAGATTGTAAATTTTCCTGGCTATTATTTAATTGGATAAATAGCATCAGCTTCCTCAATGTGTCTACACGTGATTTGGATCTTTCTCATCTCTCACCTGCACCTCTTCAGGAAGCTCCCCTGTCCATTCTTGGCAGATATGAGCTCTTTCTGCACGAACTGTGCCAAAAGTGTATCAAAAGTCTATTTTAGTAAATTCGGCAATGTAGACTCCTGTTATGCACAGCACAAACAGAACGGTTAATTAGACCCATGGCGGCATGTGACTACCTGCATCCAAATCGACCACTCACTGGAGAGGGGTTCGGGTTAACCGACTCAAGCCTCGGGTGCCTCTCAGCCAACAGATATATATGAAGCATATCTTCACGCCACAACTTACAATCAACCATCTAGAACATCAAAATCAAATAATTCACCATGTCTACCACCGATCGCGCCGTAATCCCTTTCTCGGAGCCGCCGTACCTGAGCGGGTTCCCATCTCCGTACTACAGCCCGTCGCATCTGAAATGGCAAAAGACCTGCCGCGCGTTCATGGAGGAGAACCTTCTCAAGCATGCGATGGAGTGGGAGCGTGAAGAAACTGTCCCCGAGCATGTCTTCAAGAAGTTTGCGGACAACAACTTTCTGATTCCCAACCTTCCCGCGCCGCTACCCGTGGCATGGTTGAAGAAGCTGGGGATCCACGAGATGCCTGGAGGAATCAAGGTTGAGGACTGGGATTATTTGCACACCGCAATCTACGTTGATGAGGTATTTACTCTATTTTACGATTCCGATTAATAACATCAGCTGACATGATTTTTTCCCGTGAAGATGGCACGTTCTGGTCTTGCTGGTCCATCCGCCTCGGTCACTGTGGGCATGGCTTTTGGTGTTGCCCCCGTCATCAAGTTTGGAAATCAACAGCTCCAAGAACGCTTTCTTCCCGACCTTCTCACAGGGAGAAAGCGTACTTGCATTGCTATTACGGAGCCTGATGCTGGTTCTGATGTCGCTAACATCACAACCACCGCTATCAAGACCAAGGATGGCAAGCATTACATTATCAACGGAACTAAGAAATGGTATGCTAACAATTTTTTTACCTGTAAGCGCAATTGGCTAATCTGTATAGGATCACCAATGGTATCTGGGCCGACTACTCGGCTATGGCTGTCCGAACTGGCGGCCCTGGACCCGCTGGCATCTCCATGATCCAGGTGCCATTGAAGGGTTACCCAGGAGTCACCATGCGGAGACTCAAGGTCGCTGGTCAAATCTGCGCTGGTACCACTTACATCGAGCTTGACGATGTCAAGGTTCCCGTTGAGAATCTGATTGGTGAGGAGGGTCTGGGTATGAAGTACGTGATGACGAACTTCAACCACGAGCGCCTGACCATTGCAATTGGTGTCACCCGCCAATCTCGCGTGGCGCTGGCTGCTGCATTCGAGTACTGCTTGAAGAGAGAGGCCTTCGGAAAGACTTTGATGGATCAACCCGTTGTAAGAAACCGCCTTGCAAAATGCGGCGCTGAGCTCGAGAGTCAGTCTGCTTGGGTCGATCAGTTTGTGTACCAGATGACCAAGCTGAGCAAGGCTGAGGCGGATCTCAAATTGGGCGGTCTCACAGCAATGGTGAAAGCACAAGCCGGAAGGGTATTCGACGAATGCGCGAGATGCGCTGTTCTATTATTCGGAGGAAACGGTTACACCAGAACGGGCCAAGGAGAGCTTGTCGAGAGTAAGGATATCCCACTTATATTGTCTCCCAGTGCCCAGTACTAACGTATGCCAGAAATTTACCGTGAAGTGCCCGGTGCCCGTATCCCTGGTGGCAGCGAGGACGTGATGTTTGATCTTGCGGTTCGCCAGCTGGTGAAGCTTTATAAGCAACAGACAGCCGCACTTGGGGAGCCATCTAAACTCTAGAATTAGATGATAGGATGTTATGATAGAGCGTTTAAAGCCGTACTGATAGAGCTCTTTTCTTTATACCAAAAATCGAGTGTACAGTATAAAAATCAACTGTCGTTCATACAACAGTACCTTTGTAGTTTACTATTATCGCTCTTGAAGACCTCGATAGCCACAGGAGCAAAACGGCGGGGAATGGGTAGGCCCAGACATGGGAGTGTCGCGGACTAGAACAATGTGAGGCTCTATGAACAGTCAGCAAAGCATGTAAGGTGCGAATGTGAAAGAAGTGATGTCTGGCTTTGTGATGTGTGTGGGCTGTACCTAAATATATATGCCGGTCGCCTCCACCAACCTTTCTCCACCAGCGGCAGGAGTGGAGGCCTCATAGGTGGCGACTGCCAAATGGGACACATTGTGGCCCGTGCCAAATTTAATGCACGCCAATCTAATCTCATCTACCCCGCCTCCACACTACTGTATTTGAACCTCAACCACTACAGGCGCCATTTCACGCGATTTCCGTTATTGCTTTCATGTAGTTACTTCTTTGGTTGGATAGTATATCACAATCTAGCTTTTACAGCTATAGAATTTCCTGCCCCAGATCGCGCCTCATTTTCCTTCTTCCACGCTTCAATCCTTCTCTGGTGACCCCCGTCGAACAACTCCCTCCAGCCCTTCCCAAACTTGGGAAGTCTCCTTCCAGGCTGCCCCGGCGCAGGTTCACCGGCAAGCTGCCTCACAGTCTCGAAATATTCCTCGAAGTTAGGGTACAGCGCGGTAAAGGGAACGCCGTCGCCCTTGACTGCGATGCGGTCCGTCTCCCACTTCTCCTGCTCTGCGATTGACGGGAGCTCTACGCGGCCAGCAAAATATCGGGCTGCAAGCACAGCTTGCCACTCAAAAGCTTTAAATGTAAAGCCAGCAGCAATCTATAGAGTTGAATGAAAATTAGTCGTTTGTTCTTTTGAATATGCAGGGAGATTAGATTTCGGGGGGTACTACTCACAGCGCCAACGAATGCGAGGGTGGGATCCTGTCGCTGAAAAATATGTAGGTAGAGACCTGGCAGGCGATTATTTATGACCGGGAAGTCAGGAAGAAAAGGCAGGGTCCACGAGTAACCCGTGCCAAAGATAATATTGTCGACATTGTCAATGTGCGACCCGTCTTCGAAAAAGATGGTCCTGCGCCCCCCTGTGCTTTCGATCCTTTTGATAGCTGACCGCGTCTTGATGTCGGTATGGTCGAAAGCAGACTTGCCGAAATAAGGATGCCATTTTCCTCGCACGACAGCATTTACCGGGTGCTGGGCAACTCCAATGAGGTCTCGGGCAATGTCCATCCCGGAGACTGATGCGCCAATCACAACAACATTCTACTTCGGCTTTAGTATATAGACATGCCAAAACAAAGCTCAACGATGTTTTCTTGTCAGTCAAACGTACCTTTTGTCGATATTTCTCCGCTCCCCTGTATCCCTTACTATGCTCCACCGACCCCGGATATGCACTGGCGAATTCTTCTAACCCGTCAATATAGGGAACATGCGGAACCGTATAATGTCCACTCGCCACCACCACCGCATCAAACTCCTCCGCCCACCAGTAATCACGCTCCGACCCCGCCTTTCTCAGCGTCAGCTTCCAACTTCCATTGACCTTCTCAACCCTCTCCACAGTCACTCCGCATTCCACAAAATCCTTGTACCCTTTTCTATCCAGCAGTCCTTCGATATACTCTTGAACCACTGTGTGATGGCGGAAAGGGGTACTGGGGCCGTGCCGTTGGATCGACCGTGACGTCTGTTTCACGGGGATGGGCTCTTGTGAGAACTCCATCGTATGATAGTCGATATTTGTCTCGAGCAGCGGATACACGGATGTTTCATCATGGCGGTACTGGGTTGAGCGCGGAACATATGTTGGGAGAGAGGAAGGTATATCATGTGGTTTGTCTGCGGTGCGACTGGCGAGTGTTTTGAAATCGGGGAGCTGAGGGGATCTGTGGGCCGGGTCTTGGACCCTGAAATAAGAAGGTTAGCATTTCCAAATCCATTATGCTGTTGTGGTATAGGATTATAAAATCTATAAAGATCTATAACCAAAAAGAGGGCGTGCAGTGAGTCTCAGTTGCCTACATACCAACATCCACCGACCTTCTCCCGACGCTCAAAGACGCGAATGACGTCAAACGCCTGTTCCTGCGCTAATGCGTCTACAGCGATAGCACCGGCAGGGCCCGCGCCAATAACAGCTACCCTTTTGATTCCAGGCATAATGTCTTGGTTCTGAGATAACGGAGAATATAAAATACCGAAGGACAAGAAAATAGAAAAGATTTTGATATAAAATCTCCAAAACCGCCAAAAGCCGTCGATTTTATTTAGCAGACGGAAAACTTATGGGCCATCATTAAGGCCGTCGGGGTTTGGATTTTAGTGTTAGATGTGGGGCAAGACTCGAAGTGCGTAATGGAGTGGGTGTAAGGCGTGATTATGAGCTTTCTTATCGCATACAAGAACAAACCGCACAATAGAGTAATTTGAATTGCCGTTAATTGACACTGAATACATGGGGTGCATGTGGGCTGGGAGTTTATTCTGTATCGCCCATTAGGAGGCGCTTTATCTTCGTTGGGGCATGGAATACCTTGCATCCTTGCTGCCATGTGGAAGTACGTACGCAGTTAGTTATAGGATTGTGTGATCAGGATATTGAAGGTTGATAGATATCTTACCCCACTCCCTTTCCGTGTTTGAGTTCTTGTCTTTTTCTTGTCTCCCTGACTTACTGTATACGCCCCTTCAACCTGTGTAATTATGGTCGCCACTCCAGATTCCGCAGACTTGAAGTCCTCAGTAATCATAGACTCTCCAGGCACTGCATCAGCTTCAATTCGGGACTTGGAGAAGTCTTCAGGTATTACGGAATCTACGAGCGGCCCCCCATCAATCCAGGCTGCCAGCGACAATGTAGACACAGCAGCTTCATTGCACGCTCGATCGAGGTCAGACTATTCTCAAGAAATCGGAAATCCGCAGGCCTGGCTAACTTCCCTACAGAGTTGATCTCTCCGTCCTCCCACTTCTATTTCTTGGTTTATTCGTCTTCCAGCTTGACCGTATGAATCTCGCCAGCGCTCTCACAGCCGGCCTCAAAGCCGACATTAAAATCACCCAAGCCGACGTCAATCTCGGGAACCAGATGATGTTTCTTGGTATTGTAGTCCTTGAAATTCCCTCGAACATGCTGCTCCAACGGGTTAGTTACGCTCCAATCCTATCAAGGTCCGATCAAAAACGGAACAGCATACTCATGGGTTCTAGATCGGGCCTCGAATATACATCAGTATCCAAGTTGTTATCTTTGGTTTGATAGCGACTCTACAGATATTTGTACGCGACAGAACTGGGTTTCTTATCATAAGGAGCTTCCTGGGGTTGGCCGAAGCTGGATACATACCAGGTGCCATATACACCCTCTCTACCTGGTACCGACATAAAGAATTGGCCACGCGAGTAGCAATATTTTTCTTCGGCATGTTCGGAGGGAATGCATTGAGCCCCCTACTCGCGTCTGGTATTTTGAAGCTCGGAGGTACACATGGACGGCCGGGTTGGCAGTGGATTTTTCTCCGTATGTTGTATTCTCCTCCAGGACTAATGGACCCATATCCATATATTGTACTGACTCCGAACATAGTTGAGGGTATCTTCACTATTACCGTTGGCCTCCTCATGGGATTACTTCTCCCTGGTTCACCCGAACGTCCCCGTCCTCTCTTTTTCGAGGGCCTTGTGCGCATCTCAGAGTCCGATGGCGCGCTCCTTCAAGAACGAATCGCAGCCGATCTTCCAAACAAGTCTTACGAGCCCCAGCATATACGTATCACACCAGCTAAAGTCTGGAAAACATTATCACACTGGCGCCGCTGGCCGCATCTTGTGTCTACGAGTCTTGTATTCTCGACATGGAGCTCGCTAACAACTTACACTCCAACAATTATCATGTATGCCAACTCTCATTCTTCTCTCTAGTTGCAAAAATCACCATAATTTGCTGACTTATTCTAGGTCACTGGGTTTTGACCGCACCAGCGCCAACGCACTTGCTTGCATTGGGCCCGTCATCGCCCTTGGAATTGTTTTTCTCTTCGCGCGTCTAAGTGATTACACGAACCGACGCGGTCTCATGGTCATGATCGCCATAAGCTGCTATATTACCACTTTAGTAGTAGCTCGTGCGACACAGCCACACGTGGGAAAATGGAGTCGTTGGGGACTATGGACAGCTGTGAACGCGTTTGCAGTCGGGTATCACCCAGTGCAGAATACGTGGTTGCAGCTGAACTGCCACGATCCAGCGGAGAGGAGTATCAGTATTGCGTAAGTTTAAAAATCCGCTGTATATTATGGGGGCAGTTGTCAGAGATTCGCAGCGCGAACCGAAGGCTAATTTGATTTTACAGGCTCTGGGTGATGTCTGCCATCTCAGGCTTGATGTATGGAACACAGTACTTTCAGGAAAAGGACCTGCCCCTATACTCGCGTGGATTGGAGATTATGATTGGTGTCTCAGTAGCTGGACTTGTGCTAGCTGGTGTTCAGGTTTGGATTTATACGGCATATAATAGAAAGACAATGGAGTTAAAAGAGCGGGGTTTGATTGTTGAAGGGAAAAGGTATAATTATATAGCATAAGCTCTTAGGCCTGTCACTAATTTAGATGAATTAAATTAAATAAAAAATTATGGGCTATTTATACAAGAAAGTACATATTATATTGAATTACTGGAAAAGGTTGGAAAATACACCTCGGATTAATAACTAATGGACTTATGAGTAACCATCGACTATATTATTGTATTTACTTTGGGGGCCCATTGCATCCATCGATCCAGTACTGGCATCCATCAAGTCTAGGCATCCGTCGAGCATAGCACCCCACCGCCATGCATACTCCTTCCGGGAAAATACAAAGCCCGATGCGCCTGTGCACTTTTGAAAATCGAGCTGAGAATCACGATGTCAACATGTAAGGAGACTCAACTCATCCACAACCAAGGCATATTGCCATGAGTTATAGCCATTTTCACGATGATGTCCATCCGAGCCGAGATGCGGGAGCTGCTCGACACCTGGTCAGACTGGGCCACTCCCGCGGACAATCGCATACAGTCTTGTTTAAATAACATCTGGGCTAGTTTCTTATTCATTCTTTGTTTTCTACTAGCTGTGGTTGTCAAGGGCTACCTGATTTCTGCCTACTTGTTGAGTTTTATCTGGCCCTGGTCGTCTCGCAACAGGAAGACAAATGGGCTCCAGCAGTTTGCTTTCCGGGCGGGGAATACCATTTCAGTCGTTCCGCATCAGGAACAGAACCAGGACATTACTAGAAAAAGCGAAAATATCTTGTTCCATCGCATTCCGTTCGAGATCCGTCGCCAAATTCTGATGCAGGCCTTTGGCGATCAGACGGTCCATATGGACCTTCAGTTCCGGTACCCACTTGAGCTCGCCGACGAGTGTTTGTTTTATGACTATCATGCCAGGATTGAAGGCACTTCCATGAACCCAGTTAGAGAAATAACTAAAGGGGAAAAGAAGGATTGGAGATGGTTTAGCTGCGTCTGCCACAGGTTTCCTCCTTATGCAACCCATTTGCCACTTGGAAGGAGACGTACCTATCTGGGGAGTCCCTTTTTCAATCCTGAAGGAAAGTTGTCTTAAGGGGTCAGGGACATGTAAAACATGGCCAGGGCAGTGGCCAGGTAAATGCCAGATTGGTATTACGGGTTGGCTGTTGTCTTGCAAACAGGCGTGAGTAGACCTCCGAGCCCATGGCCTGGAGACAGCCGGGTCGTCCATATCCCGTTTGGCCTAGTAACTAATTGCATATGATTTAGTTATCTTGAAGGTATAGATATCCTCTACAGAACTAATACCATCCATATCGCATCGCCGGTCCTCATGCGGAGCATCCAGGATGTTGTTTCTCGGCAGAGGCTGGAAGACATCACATCACTTGAATTAGTTTGGGAGCCGAAAATATTACCACTTGAGCTTGGGTTCACCAGCAGCAACAATTCTCAACACAAATCTCCAACCAGGCCAATATTCCCGTGTCTGCAATTTTTGCGCATTTCCTTTGAAGAGTTAGTAAGCGGTGAAGAAGACTGCTCGCTCGGAATAGTTTGGCCCTATGAGGACCAGAAAATCCTCGGTCATAGACTGCATCACCACTTTCTACCTAAAGTGGATACGCTCCTGGAGAAAATTGCGCCACCTACCACAGATGTCACTCTAACGTGCCCGCAGTGGGATTGGTATGTGGCGATTGACTGCTTCCTGATGGAGAAACAGGGAAAGGAGGAGACAAGAATGCATCGCGCAGATGTTGAGGGACTGAAATGTTGGAGAAACACGCCAGGGAGAATTGAGGATGTATCCGATGGAGTATTAGATTCGGGAGTTGAAGGGAGGAGGAAAGGGTTTTGGATTCACATATGCATCTATGATGTGGAACTGGATAAATGCCGTAACTACAGCTACGACCAGGATCGACACGACCTGTATAATCTCGGCCCAGAACGATATCGCTTCCGCGAAGAAACGGTCATAGATACGAATTCCTTCGTTTATCATTCGGACTACTAAACGAGGTACGATGGGGGTAATATGATAAAGTAATCCTCAGTGGACCTTTGATAAATCTGGTGTGCCGTCTTGTGCAGCATATAAATCGGCGAAAAGGGGGCGTTGTGGGCTAACACTTTTAGGACAGGGCTAAGAAGCTACCACGATGGTAGCTCGTTGTCAACGCAGAAGGCTAGACTTTAGCCTCCTGTCTAACCATGGGAAACAACAAACTTACATAGCTTGATGGCTCAGTTTAAGGTTAACAGTTTCGGAGAATAGTATGGGAAAAGTGGTGAGCATAGACACACGTGATTAATGATTTCAGCGCCTGGTGTGGGTTTAGAAAAGCGTAAATTGACAAAATTCAAAACTCGAAATTGTTATTTAATGTGGTAATACACGCCTGATGATTGGCTCGGTGCACGTGCAACTCCGATATATCTCAAGATTTGTTGATGACTTGAGATTTCCGATTCCCACCCGTCCCTGCGATATCCGCCGACTAGCCGTGCCCAACCCGATTGGCCCAACAGGAGCTCCCCGCTTGATTACACCCTGAGCCCACACTGAGCCCCCACCCTCGGCCAGGAACGGCGGGGTGCTTGTTATAAGCCTTGACGACCCGCCTCAACAGATGTGAGAGTCACATCACAACCAACAACAACAACAACAACGACGATGCCGCCCACCATGCCTCGTGTCCGCATACCTTTGAGATTGTCTCATGGAAGCAGAGCTGTGATCCCATCTGCGAAGCCACAATGGGTTGCTCAGAGAGCTTACGGCACTGTCGTTGACGGCCCAGTCGCCCAGTCGAGTCAAGCTTCCACGTTTGAAAAGGCGCTCACGGCGACGGCTCCCAGGCACAACTGGACAAAGCAGGAGATCAAAGAGATCTACGACACGCCTCTCATGAAGCTTGCCCACGCTGCTGTATGTCCCTCATACACCCCCCGCCCCCCAAACCGCACAACAGCTACTGACCCCCACTACAGGGCGCCGTCCACCAAAAATTCCACGACCCAGCCGAAATCCAGATGTGCACGCTGATCAACATCAAGACCGGCGGCTGCAGTGAGGACTGCTCCTACTGCGCGCAATCCTCGCGCCACAATACCGGCCTCGAGGCCTCGAAAATGATCCAAGTCGGGACGGTGCTCGCCGCTGCCCGCGTCGCCAAGGAGAACGGAAGCACACGCTTCTGTATGGGTGCTGCGTGGAGAGACATGCGCGGGCGCAAAACAAACCTACGCAATATTAAGGAGATGGTCAAGGGCGTCAAGGACCTGGGAATGGAGAGCTGTGTCACCCTCGGCATGATCGATCTGGCGCAGGCCAAGGAGCTGAAGGAGGCTGGGCTGACAGCGTACAACCACAATGTCGATACGTCGCGCGAGTTCTACCCGAGTGTTATCTCTACTCGCACGTACGACGAGAGACTCCAGACTATCGCGAATGCCAACGAGGCTGGCTTGAGCGTGTGCACTGGCGGTATTCTGGGACTGGGTGAGGAGGCAAAGGATCATGTCGGATTACTCTTTACCGTCGCGACGATGCCGACTCACCCCGAGTCGTTCCCAGTCAACACCCTCGTACCAATCAAGGGTACGCCGCTGGGCGACCGCGAGCAGTCCCCCTTCGACGTCACGCTGCGCACCATCGCTGCAGCGCGCCTGATCATGCCAAAGACCATCATCCGTCTTGCGGCCGGCCGTACGATTCTGAGCGAGGAGCAGCAGGTTCTGTGTTTCATGGCTGGAGCGAATGCGGTGTTCACCGGTGAGAAGATGTTGACGACCGCGTGTAACGGGTGGGAGGAAGATAACAAGATCTTTGCGAAGTGGGGCTTGAGGCCGATGCAGAGCTTCCAGGCTGGGAAGGAGGAGGGCGCGTCGGCACCGATGAGGGAGGGGGCGGAGAAGAAGAAGAGCCAGGTTGAGTTGGGGAGGTGATGTGAGGTGGGAATGAGGAATGGGGGGTTGGTTTAGCATCTTGAGATTACTCGATGCTGCGTACATATTAGATTATCTAGAAATTAGACATCTGATTTGAAATTTATCATTGGCGGGCATGTCTCTCTATCATAAGTCGTATACACATAAATCACTGAACTGAAGCACCAACACATCTCGTCATGCAACCAACATATCCTCCCAACAGACTTCGGCCATATCCCAAGCCTTCTTCAACATCCTACCAACTCCAGCTCGTACCACAACCGGCTGGCCGTCATGTGCAGTGGTGCCTTGCCTTGTTATTAACATAACATTAATAACAGAGTAAGACTTCAGAGCGCTTGAGGCATCCAAAGACAGCTCATCGGCCACAAAACAGTAAGCGCTCGAGAGAACAACAAACTCGTGCTCATCCGAGAGTTTTTGCTGGTAGGATGCTGGTAGTAAAATGGTCCCCAGCCATTCTTCCTCGGTGTCAAGGTCCGCCGAACGTACTGTGGTGATTCCGAATCGGGTTGAAAGCTTCCCATGGGCCTTCGATAAAGACTTTGGCTTCGGAGTTCCACTTCTATCATCCAGTGTGAGTCCAAAGCTTGCTACCCGGGTATGAAGCTGTAGGTGATACATAGGGACTAGGGCGCCATCCTTCTTGATATCAACGGTCTCGCCATACTCGGATTGTAAAGCTCGCTTCCAAGGATCGTGCAAGGCAGGGAGGCCGTTCCAGTCTAGATAGTTACAGTATTTAACTGGCCCGCTCCAGCCTGCCCACGACCAGCTAGGATATATCAGTGCGTTGGTTTCCTCATAGATCGGAACCCTTGGAAGCTCTTGCTGTGGCTGCCATAGGAGAGAGTGGACAAGCATTTCCTCTGACCACATTCTCATATAAAAACCGGGCCGTACTTCATGTTATAAAAGTTGAGAATACCTTGAAACCCACTTAGCCGGTCGCGTGGGTAGGTCATGCCCCTTAGAGTATACTCATTGACCATATTGAAGTAAAAATGATGAGCTATGCTAAGTGAATATGTAATCTCAGTGGTTACAGTTGGTGCTTCTTCTCCGCGGCTAGGGACGATAGTCTGATCCGACGCGCTTCTGTATATATCAGGCCTGAGCTTGTTCATATCCTCATCCCAGCAAACGTGGCCGCATTGAAAGTACACGCTGTCTTTATTAAAGATTAGATTTCTTCGAGAGAGAGTGTACTCTTGATATGTCCAACATCGGCTATTCCATACTGATGCATTAAGATCATCTTCACGCCCTAGATTGAGAGACAGTAAAGTCAATTCGTCTGAGTATGTTGCTGTATGCTGCGTAATATCCCTCGGGGGTCCGTTAAGACCTGTGAGCCCAGCATTGGCATCGCTAATGCACACTATTCATAGCTAAGTAAAACACCAGCTCCCCATCATTTCCGGCGGCTAACGATGATAATACTTGTGCCGTTATCCAATTAAGGAAATTTTCCATCTCCAATGCAGCAATGAAGTACTTCGAGTTGCGGTACAGCACCTAAATGTAGAACCCTACGCTTATCAGGCTTGTCAATGATGGGCGACGGTTTCTTGGCCATGAGAATGGGTTCTTTCGCCCCAGCAAATTTTGCAGAGGTTGAGATGGCCGTTTTTGCATGGGATCAAAAGCACCGTGGCTTAACTGAAATAGGGGCGTTTTTCTGGCTGCTTGTGGTGTCAATGGAGGAGATAGGCTGTTGTAGTATTGACAACGCCTATCTGCCTTTAATAGTCTTAGATCAATTAAATAGTTTTATTTCTTACATTGCATCTATCTAGTAAAGCTCATTCTTCCTTATAAGCAGTGCTTGCCATTTCCTCCCACTGTCTTTGTAGTTGGTACCATGCATCCTCGACAACCTTAAGATATTTTAGTCAAGTATACCCTATAATACAAATTTTGGTCCGAGAAGTTTAGTGGAGGTGAATAAACCATCCTAAACCGATTCTTCTGTCAAGCTGGCCTCCTTTTTAGCAGTCTCACCAGATTGCTCGGCTGCACGAGCTTTGAGGCTGCGCCATTCCACAAGGACACTCCCAAAGATGGTGACACTGCAGGTAGCAACCACGATATAGAACACACTAACTATTGAGTCGTTGTAGTCCGAAATAAGCCTCTCTAGATTGTCGCCGGTAGCAAGACTCTTGATATCAGTGGCACCGCCATCCAGAACCGTTTTCGCGCTGATGCCCGGGATGTTGGCCAACTTCGAGATAAGCCGGCTGAGGAAAATGTTTTGGGCGACAGGTAGGAATATGGCGGGGCCAAGAAAGCGCATGAACGTGACAACAGCGGTTCCGGTTGCGATGTCGGATCTGTCAAGAACCGTCTGCACAACGTTCATCGGCTGTTGAACCCCAAAGCCGAGACCAATACCGTACAGGACTTGGTATCCAATCCTTGTCGTGGCCTGTGCTTGGTGTGAATGTCGTGAAGAGACCAGCCCCGATGGTGGTAATGATCGAGCTGAGAATGAAGAATGGAGTATAGTAACCGAGTTTGGCGACCAAGAACCCAGAGAAAAGAGAGCCCACAACAGTCGAGAGTATCATTGGGAGTAGCATAATCCCAGAGTTGAGAGCTGTTGCACCTTTGATAGCCTGGAAATAGATGGGAAGATAATACATCACGACCATCATGCCAGCGCCGTTGAAAAAGCTGCACCACATCGAAGCGCCAATGCTCCGTTGCCTGACAAGACGTGGGGGGACCATTGCACTCTCATCTTTCCAAATCTGGACGCTGATAAAGGCGAAGCAGAGGATGCCGCAAAGAATGAGAAGGACTATGATGCGAGCGTTTTTCCAGGAGTACTGTGCTCCACCCCATTGAAGGGCCAGTATTAGGCAAACAACCCCTGGTAGGAATATGAGATTGCCAATAGGGTCAAGCTGTTTCAGCCGCCCAATCCATCCGGTCGCCTGCTCATCAAGCTTCTGGTTGGGGAGGTGTAAAATGAGGATGGCGACAATGATTGTAACGGCGCCAATCGGCAAGTTCAAGTAAAAGCACCATCTCCATGTGACTTTGTCTGTAAAAGTGCCTCCGACTAGAGGACCGATGACAGATCCCAGAGCAAAGATCGCGCCGAAGAACCCTTGGAATATTGGCCGATGCTGCAGGGGGATGGTGTGGAACATGATCACCATCAAGCCTGAAAACATCCCCGAAGTGCCAGTTCCTGCAATAGCGCGGCCAACAATGAATGCATTTGAGTTTGGCGCCGCACCACAGACCGCCGAGCCAATCTCAAAGAGTATAATGCCGATGAGAAAGACTGGTTTAGCCGGGTAAAATTTGTATATTCTTCCCATGAGCAGCTGGAAGCTGCATGTGGTAAGCAAATATGCGCTGCCATACCATCCGATGTCATCCAGAGAGTGAAACTCGTCAGTGATTCGAGGGATTGCGGTTGATATAATGTTTTGATCCTGCATCTATGGTTAGCCATCTCGCCAAATGAAAAGATCTTTTCGTGGGAAAGGAAATAATTACCAAGGTGACCAAAAAAATAGACAGAAGAAGCGCTGTCATAATAAGAATGCGCTTATGAATGCTTGGATATTCTATAATTTCCTCCTTCTTTGCCTCTGGTAAAGGGGCGTCTTCAGTCGGTTTCTCATCGTCACGTGGGGTGGTGTGTTGAGACATTGTTGGAAGCACAAGGCAAGCTTGTCAAAGCGAATAAAGAATTAACTGCCATCTTAATATCACGTTTGTGGCACCATTATATATAGGTAAAATATTCAGCGGTGCTCGGGGTTGTCGGGGTCGATTTTCCAAGGCGAGGGCGACGGAGCTCGCTCCATAAGTGAGACTGATGTCGCTTCTCGGTGCTCAAAAATGATTTTCCTTCTCCGGGCCCCGAGAACGACGACCACAATAAACTCCGTCACCAACAATCCTTCGTACAACACCGGAAATAATTAAATCCAGCAATGCCTCAGACTTCAGAAGGACGACTCAGACCGGGTGAAGACCTAAAGAAATTCTCCTGCTTGACGTGCCGACAGCGCAAGGTCAGGTGTGATCGGCACAACCCATGTTCTCACTGTGTAAAGGCAGCAACGCAATGCAGCTTTATTGCCCCCGTGCGCGGCAAGCGGAAGTTGACAAAACCGCCCAAGGAGGGGCTTCACAGTAAATTAAAACGATACGAGGAGATGTTAAAAGCGTACGGAGCAAACATAGAGCAATCCGACTACGAGAATTTGTCAGACGCGGACGTGGCATCGGAGCCTGATGTTGAGATGACCGAAGCCGAAGGAGCCAAGTCTCATAAAGAGGGCCCTGACGAACCTTTTACGTTTGACAAATCCAAGTCAAGGCTTGTAAGTAAGAATGGCTCGTCGAGGTATTTTGATAAGTGCGTCTGTTCTTATCCTGAAGCCATGCACACACATTACTGACCTTTGCCAGTGAAATATGGTCCAACATAGGAGACGAGGTAATCCTGACTCCATCTTACACTCTAAAGGACGTTTTACTTATTATTGATAGTTCCACCATCCCGATGAAGCAGGGTTCGTTGAGTGCGTTGGCGAAATGACTGTTCGGATATCGGACGTCTTTGTCGATACAGCTGACGAGAATGGTCTTTTGCTGGGCACCTACTCAAAAATCGACAATATCACAAGCCTCCACCTTTCTTCTCATATACTGAAAAGGGTCTTCGATATTTTTGTCGATAGAGTGGATCCCTTGGTGAAACTCTTGCATCTCCCTACATTTTGGACCACCCTCACAAATGCGGTTGAGAACCCACATGACGTGTTGAAAAGCGTCGAAGCACTCATTTTCGGATTCTATCTCATGACAATCTCCTCTTTGGATGAAGATGAATGCCGCTCACTTTTTGGAGAGGACAAATCGATCGTTTTTACACGATATAGAATCGCAGCTCGCCAGACGTTGATGAACGCGGGATTTCTCAAAACAACTAGCCTAGTGACCCTGCAAGCATTTATGATGTTCCTTGTAAGTTTCGCTGCTCGGAGTTGATTTTAGGTTTTGGCTAACCGACATAGATGGGCATGAAAGGATGTTACCAGAGTGATACGATGTTCATCCTATCAGGAGTTGCCGTCCGGCTTGCCCGGCGCATGGGCCTTCACCGCGACGGGACATCCCTTAATCTCTCTCCATTCGACACAGAAATCCGAAGGCGTCTTTGGTGGATGATTGTCTTCATCGACTGTCGCACATCTGATTTCTCAGGCACGAGGCCGTCTATGGATCTTTTTCTCAGTGACACCAAGAAACCTCTCAATGTCGAAGATGAAGACCTCACGCCCGACATGGTCGAGCCACCGCCAGAACGGACCGGTATCACATCCATTGTGCTTTCTTTGATAAGATTTGATATTATTGATTTCTTGCGCAAAGTCAAATCGCAGCATTCGTACGATGTTGGGTGGGAGAATCTTACCGGCCAGGCCGTCACACCCGCTGAGAGGGACAACCTGATCAAGCAGGTCGAGGGCATCTTAGAGACAAAATATCTTCGCTATTTTGATCCATCGAATCCTCTCCATTATTTCTCATCGGTTCTTGCTAGGTCAGCAATATGCAAGATGAACCTATACGCCTACAACCCCCGCCAATTCGCCAACTGCGGCGCCAAAGTCCCACAAAGAGCACGAGACATAATATTCACCAACGGAATGAAACTCCTCGAATACGGCAACCTATTACACAGAGATCCGAATCTGCGGAAATTTTCAACACAAACAAGCTCGGGTTATATATGGGACACGCTGCTCTACGTGCTCATCGAAGCGCGCAACCGCAAGATAGGGCCAGATGTCGATCGTGCGTGGAAGCTGATAGGCGAAGCTTTCGAAAATTATCCACTCATTTTTGCTCAGGCCACAGAGGCGCTGTATGCTGCGCTGGGTAACTGGACTCTGCAAGTATGGGACGACTGCGTCGCGGCGAGGAATGCGGAGGGGATTCCGGAACCACTGACGCCGTATTATATTGAAGCGCTTCGTCGCTGTCGAACACCTGCATCGAAGCCAGACGCCATAAAAAACCTCGAGGGAGCAATGGGGAGCTCTGTTGGAAATGACAAACCCCAATCTCAAAGGCATGATGGCAACTATAGCGCTGGTTTCGAGCCTATTGAGTCGTATGATTTCTCAAGTATTTTGTCTTTTGATTTGGAACCAAACGAATGGGCGCAATGGGAGCGTTTGCTGTCTGCACAGGGAATGTAGCTGAGGATGCCACTACGAAAGACTTGAATGTGGTTCTGTCAATGGTTTTTGCATTAATACAGGAAGGCTAGCCCTGTGGCAGACATACTATATGAAGACAGACCATCGTACCTACTAAATCTCTTACATTTCGAGCAGAGATTATCCGACGCCTGGTAGAAGCGATCAGATGTGCAATCCTCGACATAATTAAGGCAGGCAATAAAAATGCCTGCCCAGAGTCGCCTCTGTGGTATCTCATAAAGTCGCACAGTCTCGAAGCTGGGCGATGTCTTTCCTCGTTGGATCCCCCAACTCCGTCATGGGCGCCTAGCCCACAATGAATAAAGAGAGCCGTTAACAGGCATTCGATATGGGTTCAAGACCGGCCCGTGGTATATAGTACATGCCCGTAATCAACCAACCTACCCTCAACCGAAATGTTTCGTTGAATCGTGACTTGTGCCGCTCTCGCTCTATTTCCTCTGTACTGTGATACCAGCGGATTTCACTTCTTGGTGATGACTTCAGCTGCCTGTGCTTGTGCCTGTGCGCTTTGTATCGCCTCATCTCGGCGGTTTCCGTCCGTATACGACGTTTCTTCGTGCCACTGTTAGCAACCAAACACCAAGTATCGGTCGTGCACCTTAGCCGGAGCTGGAAGGATAAAATTAGAGACAAAACTTACACAATATGGTACGCATGGATGCTGTTGTCCTTCAGCGCCTCTCTCATCTTCCCGAGGTATGCTTGTACTTCAGTATACGACCACTGCAGACACACGGTAAGCTTTTAGTTGCATGATAATGTAGGTGTGGAGACTAACGTTTAGTACTCTCGTCAACAAGGCCATTGACCAGCCCTCGATACCCTCCTGCCAATGTATGCGATTCCATTCCCCGACACTCTTTGTGAACGGGTCTTTAGCCCACGGTCCAACAGGATACCTGTATACTGTCTCGACAATATCTACGAAGCCAGCATCTGTAACATATCCTTTGATCTGCTCGTGAATCCTGAGATCCTTCCCAAACTTGTCGCCAGCCTCAAGTGATACCTTTCCCCACTGGTCAAAGATGCTGCCTTCCTTGACGCTACCATCATCTGACTTCAGAACCACGGACATCTCAAGCTGCTGATACCAGCCTCCAGGGACAAGGTTGCTATATCATGTCAGCACATGAAGCTATAACAGGAAGAAGGGCTGCTGCTCACTCTAGAACCTGCTGGTAGAATGCTGGCCAATCCGCAACACTTCCATACATAGCGCGGACGTGAATGAAGTCGAACGAATTCTTCGAGTAACCCCAATCCGGATCGCAGGCATCATTGATCTCGAAGCGCAAGTTCGGCGCCACCCACTGCGGCTGTATGGGCGAGAGGTCGAACCCAGTCACCCGTGCGGAGGGGTATTGATCTGCGAAATCCATGGCCCAGATACCGGTGCCTGTGCCAATGTCGAGGACATTTTGGGGATTGTCGCCAATGGGCGCGAGGAATAGCCTGTCGCCCATTGTCAACAGGAACAGGTGATGTGCAATATCGAGCTGGTTACTCTGCTGCTCGTCGTTTGGACCCCAATATTCCCCGTCTTTGTATGCATGGTACCGCCGGTTATTCTCGTATCGGTACTTTGTGATATGCGAAAGCAGCGATGTTGTATCGCTCTGGAGAGAACCGCTGTCGTAGGCAGAATCGCCATCTTCTTCGAATGTATCGTCGATGGTGATCTCTTCATCTGATCCTACTGATGGCTGAGGGGATGGTGCTCCTTGATATGACGACGGACGGCCTGGTTGGTGCTCCACAGGAGGCGCAGCGCTATTTATTGTCTCGAAAGAAGGTTCCGGTAGCTTACCCGTAGCTAGCTCAGGGTCTATCGAAGCCGTGGCTGTTGGTGGCGTGGATTCGGCCGCCGTGATCGACGTTCCGATGGAATCCTCGACCATGACGTTGACGACTGTGATCGCAAATATATTCGGAGACGTCGGGGAAGGTCAGTACTGGATGAGCAGAGATATAATTGTGACCTTTCTTTGAGGTCGTACCCAATATCTCGCTTAAGAACTAAGTCTGATCGACTCGTGGTGTGGTCCCAACGCAAGGGATCCCACTACCAGTCACACACCGTGCAATAACACCAATCACAAATATATCCACCTTATATCACATATCACACTGATCGCACTGATCACACTCATCACACAGCTTTGAGCTCACCTCTCGGTATTCTCGGTATTCCACTCATCATGTCCGGGTTAGACATCCCAGGCAAAGTGGCGGTCGTCGTTATTGGTCTGGTTTCAGCCTGGCTGATCCAGAGAGCTGTCACTGGCCTGTCCAATCTGTTTTGCCACCCACTCGCTGCCTTTCCAGGCCCAAAGGCTGCAGCCTTTACAGCCTGGTACAAGACATATCAGGAGCTTTATCTTGGCAGATCTTGGATTGATGTGCTCCAGGAGTTGCATACCAAGTATGGTAGGTAGGGAATGGATCGTGGGCTTGCCTGGTGCTGCTGGGATGCTGGCTGACTGGCAATTAAGGCAAAATCGTTCGTGTTGGTCCCAACGAGGTACACGGCTTCTCTTTTTCGTGTCTTACGCTTTCCCTTGCTTCCTTATTTGTGTTTCATTTATTTGCATTTCCATAACTGGCGCCAAGAGATTGGAACCCTTCCCCGGATTCCCACGAGTCATGTCCCTTGTGGGTACCTGTTCTAACGGCATTCTAGCTCCACTTCTCAGATCCAGCCGCATATAGTGAGATATACAGCAATAATAATCGATGGAATAAGGAGGCGGACCTCTATCATAGCTTTGGGGAGGACCGCTCGTCGTTTGGATTTCTGACATATGCGGAATCCAAACAGCGGAAGGATATCATGGCCCCCCTGTTCTCACGTCGAGCTATCTGTGAACTCCAGGGCCTGGTGCAGGGCAATGTACGACCGCTCTCACCACGTTATTAACATCGATAGCTTATTAGAGACTAATTTGCATGCAGGTTGACCGATTATGCAAAATCCTCGCTATTAACAACGCAGCTGGGAAATCGTCCGATCTTTTCTTTGGGCTCCGGTGTTTCACTATGGATACCATCACCTACTTCTGCTTTGCAAAGTCTGTAGATGCCCTCGCTGAACCAGACTTCAAGGCCCCTATTATTGAAGCCATGGAGGCGTCCCTGCCCGCATTCGTCGTGTTTAAGCACTTTAGCCTTATCCGTAAAGCAGTATTTGGTATGCCACCATGGCTTAGCGTTCTCACCAGCCCACAGACTGCGGGGTTAATACACCTCCAGCAACTGCTTGGTGCACAGGTGAATGAGGTTGTGAAAAATCCCGAGGCCTTAAAAGATTCACCACATCGGATTATTTACCATGAGCTGCTCAGTACCAAAGCCAGCAAGGGGGAACCGCTTCCGTCTGCAGGTAGCCTGTACGAAGAGGCCCAGGCGTTGATGTTTGGTGGTGCTGACACGACTGGTAACGCTCTCATGCTAGGGACATTCCACTTGCTCGGATCCCCTGGTTACGTAGACAGGTTGAAGGAAGAGTTGTACAGCGCCTGGCCGGTTCTTGACGAACCGCCCAAATTGGAGGAATTGGAGAAGTTGCCATTCCTGGTGAGAATGTTCTATCTTATTTTGTTGATCTGTCTGGCTAACGAAGCAAGACCGCTGTGATCAAAGAATCCCTCCGTATCAGCCCCGGCGTCGCCTCTCCCTTACTCCGCGTGGTTCCTGCCACTGGCGCAACCGTCACAGGTGCCTACATTCCTCCAAATGTGAGTCACGCTTTTCCCTGGGCGAGTATTCAATCGTTGACGTTTCGCAGACCATTGTGGGCATGAGCGGTACTTTCGTCCACAGTTCCAAAGCAATCTTCAAGAACCCCGAAACCTTTGATCCCGAGCGTTGGCTCAAAAAGGATTCGGCATCTCTCGAGAAGTGGCTCGTTGCGTTCTCCAAGGGACCGAGGATGTGCATGGGACAGAAGTAAGCTCGGCGCTGTATACCTTTGACTTATTCCAGGATGTACCACTAATGTAATGATAGTCTTGCAAACTGTGAAATGTACCTCGTATTTGCCGCTCTCTTTCGACGCTTTGATCTGGAGCTAGATGGGACCAGGTAAGACATGATCCATAAAACCGAAGTGTGTAACTAACACGTTTCCTTTTAGCGTCGATGATCTGACCTGGAGGGAATGCTTCTTGCCACACTTTCAGGGACGGCATTTACAAGCTTTCTGCCGGCCCGTTGCGAACTAAACGTCTTCCTTGCGCCAAATCCCATCTAACGATATAGGGTGTGCGAGACGAGGGAACGTACAACACCAACCTCTCTACGCCACCTTCATTTCGCCTTCGACCCAAAAGTTGTTTTTGATCAGCACTTTGATTTTAATCTGCAATTCAAGCGAGCGAGCACAGCGGTCCCACTCACGAGTTATGGCCTCTGACGAAAAGTTATACCCCATTGTGGCATTTCTCCACATAACATCTTGGATAGATGAGGAGACCACAATATTTATGATAGGATAAACAACGAGAATTCTCATGTCACCGTTTGCTTATTGTTCCCGTTTCTCTCCCGTGCAGGCTCCACCCAGATTTCAGCTCGCACGAATCACAATAAGAACGACATCACACCGGGTCGTGCAACGACGACACAGTATCGTATGAATACGTACACGGCTCATGCCTCTTGATAAATCTAAAATTTTCAATATGTCTACAGCGCCTGGATCACACGCTCCTCAATCCCCCTCACAACATCCACCGTTGTGGTTTGGCTCGCCATCACATAGAATACATTCCCCAGCACGCGCGAGTGGATCCCAAACCCGCCCTCGACGCGGGAGAGCGCAGATTGCAGCCCTATCGCTGCGGTGGATGTGTACCCTGCAAACGCATGTAAGCATGTTCCCAATTAAAGCATATAAATGGGAGGGGGTAAAAAACAGAAAGGAAGACATACCAGGGTTTTCATCCCGTAACTTAATAGCAAGCACAGACCCAAGCGCAACCACACTCTCTACCTCTGTATGGCGTGATACACTGTCTAAGAACGTTGGGGACCACATACTCCACACCCCGTCCTTCCCACCGGATGCACTATCCACCTTCGTCTTCCCCCACGGCGCCCTGAATGCCTCCCACTCCTCACCGCTCTCAATCCGCAACAACTCCTTCACCGATGCCTCGGCAACTGCACACCCAACCGCATGGGCTGTGTAACTGTGTCCATGTAGAAGGGCATCGCGTTTCTCATCTCCCAGGAAGACGTCGTAGATAGACTCACTCGCGACGGTGGCGGCGAGTGGGACAAGCCCACCGGTTAAGAGCTTGGCGTGCACCGAGATGTCGGGTTGGGTGCCAAGGAGGGTGGATGGGCTGAAGGGGCCGAGGCGGGTGATGCCTGTGAAGACTTCGTCGAAGAGGATGGGTAGACCGGTCCAGTTGTTTGGGTCGGTTGGGGCAGGGGAGGCGGAGAATAGGGAGTGTGAGTCCCGGATGGTGTTTATGAGAGTGCGTTGGAAGAGGGGGTCGCTAGGAAGGATTAGTTGGTGTGTGAAAAGGGAGGGGCTAACGAGAACTTACACAAGGAGCATGCCACCGGCGCCGAGCATGATAGGCTCCATGACAAGCGCGCCGAAAGTCTTTCCTTCCACGCGTACGAGCCTGTCCAGTGTTTCGAGGATGTGCTTCTTATACGTCTCCGCAGCAAGCGACTCATCTCGAGCCTCCATATCAAACACCTCATCCAGCGACTTAAACCTCATTGCCGGCCCAAACTCTCCCTCGCCCCCCTCAGGCGGCTCAACCACCCACTCCCCCTCCTTCATCTTAACCTGCGGGAAATCAAACCAGTGACCACGCCCACGGTACCAATGCACACGCTCATTATACGTCGACGGCTCGGAGCAATCCATCGCTCCAATCGTGTCTCCGTGGTAACTGCCCTTCAGCCCAATCACACCCACCTCTTGCGATTCCTCATACCCATACCGCACCGACGCGGCTGTCAACGCCATCTTAACCGCTACCTCGACGCCCGTGCTCCCGTTGTCGGAGTAGAACACCCGCTGCATCCGCGGATTCCGTAGGTTTTCGAGCAGAAGCTCTGCCAGCGCAAGGGCCGGCTCATGGATCGCTGATGCGAACATCACGTGGCCGTAGCGACCAGCGGCGTTGGCAGCGGCGAGGGAAAGAGCGGGGTTACCGTGTCCTAGGCCCTGGGTCCACCAAGATGCGGAGCCGTCGAGGGTAGGTTGCAGGACGGTCTCGGAGGATGGTGGTGAGACGGTCTGGAAGAAGTCGCCGTGGGCGGAGTCGACGGTCATGAGTTTGTCAGGGGTGATGCCGCGGTGCTGTGTGAAAGGGTACCAGATGTGTTTGTGGGCTTTGTCGGCCATTGAGTCGAGCCTGTCGAGGCGGGAGGTGTGAGAGGTGGAGAGGGAGGTTGCCATGTCTATGACGGATTTGCGCTCGCTCATTTCTAGGTAGTAGTCTGCCATACGCGCCTGATCGGTCTCTTTGCTGCTCTCCTGTGGCGGGGGTGGGGGGAGCGAGAGCACGGAGATGCCGCGCTCGCCGAAGTAGTCGCGAAGATACTCATGATTCTGATATTGCTCATCCTCGAATAGTAGAACGGAGTTGAGGTCGTAGCCCCTGATATGGAGGGACTCGAAGGCCGATATGGATGACGAGATGCCTCCAAGGCGGTGGTCACCTACTAACAAGACGGGCAGGCGCAGAGGCCTGTATAGATCCGCCTGTGAGCTCCCAGACGGCGTAGGAGAATGCACCCCGCCAGCTGTCTCGACAAGCAGCGTCCCCTTTCCATCCTGAGAACACGATGTCACGTGCGCCTGGATCTTTTCTCGAATTGACGAATCAGAGAGCGGCTAGAAAGTGATTAGCAACTTTGATATTGACTGACTCATAAATTCTTCATCTCGGCATCTCACAGTAGCGCCCCTCGCGGCAATATGCGGGCTCACGGGCTCTCCAAACTGAAATAATGTCTTTGTCTTCGTGCTCGGCGAGAACCGCGCGAGGTGTCCGTCATCGGCGTCGTCGAGCGGGCCCGTCGACACTGGCTTCAGGTACCAGACGGGTTCCTGGGGGAAAGCGTGATGTAGCGCGCCGCACAAGATGGTCGACATGACCGTCTTTCCCACGCCGGTATTCGCGCCATAGATCTGATATGCGCGCAGTGAGCGGCGCAGAACAGATCCCGTGATTCCAGAGGCGGGCATGCTGCTAGTTGGTGTTCGGTGGTCGCCGCCTGTGATCGGCTACTAGGAACAACAAATCGTAGGGGTCGGGATCTCGCCAACCATCAACCGCCGAGATATTTTACAGGGCAATATAACTTTGGCTTTGGTTGAGATGGTCGTATTTTACTCAACCCCAACGCTTTTTTTGTTGTTGTAGTCAGCGATTTATATCTTACATACACATGCTTATACCCACCCCTAGTTCCCGTATTATCCACATTATTATCGTTAAAGTCGGTTCACAGGGCTAATGCTCGGCTACGAACGGCGCTCCACGATGTCTAAAATATAAAATATGGGCCTCTATCCACTCCCCACTCCGCGGTCCAGACCTAACGACATCCATATAGCTACTCATATCCATCCGAAGCCCGTCCCCTCCCTCTCTCCCCTCTAAGTCCGCCGTCCCTCCCCCTAAATCATCATGGCCGACCCCCCAGCTGACGCCCTCGCAACTTCCATGCGCCTCAACCTTTCCAAGCGCGCCGCCAAATCTTCCCTTCGTGCCCTCACCCTCTCCCCTCCCACCTCCACCGACTTCTCCTCCAACGACTTCCTCTCCCTGTCATCCTTACCAAGTCTCCATGCCTCCTTCCTTGCCCACCTCAACTCCTCACCCCAACGCCTTGGTAGCGGCGGTTCCCGCCTCCTCGACGGGAACAGCGCGTACGCGGAGACCCTCGAGTCCGATATCGCCTCCTTCCACGGCGCCGAGGCCGGATGCCTCTTCAACGCCGGCTTCGATGCCAATGCGGGCTTCTTCGCATGTGTGCCCCAGCCGGGCGACGTAGTCGTCTATGACGCTGCCATTCACGCCAGCGTGCACGAAGGGATGCGTCTCTCACGTGCTGGAGCCCGCCTGTCCTTCCGGCACAACGACGTTGAGGATCTGAAGCACGTGCTTGAGGGGGTCCTGGCGGGAGATGCGCTCGTAAGGACGGGAAAACGGAGCGTTTTCATCGCGGTGGAGAGTCTGTATAGTATGGATGGTGACCTAGCGCCGCTTGCTGCAATTGTGGAAGCTGTAGAGAAGCTGTTGCCCTTGGGAAATGGCAAGATCATCGTGGATGAGGCGCATTCGACTGGCCTATATGGCGAGAACGGGCGCGGGGTGGTGTGTAGTCTTGGCCTCGAACGGCGGGTATTTGCGCGCCTGCATACGTTCGGGAAGGCGCTGGCGTGTAATGGAGGTATGCTCATGCCCCACTGGTTGACTGGTGTTCGCTGAGCTGATGATGGTGTGAAGCGATTATGCTCTGCTCGCCGCTGACGCGGGAGTATCTGATTAACTATGCGCGCCCGCTCATCTACACGACTTTCATGTCCTACCCTTCACTCGTAGCTATCCGCACCGTTTATGATCTCATGATAGATGGTGGAACTGTCACTGTATGTTGCTCCCCCTGCTTTTTTCCTCCCTTACTTACACCTAGCCAGCCTGCGGCACATATGTGGGCGTTAGTATCGCACCTTCACACACGCCTCCTTGCCCTCTCACTATCGCCATCGCACCCCCTTCTGCGCATCCCACACCTCTGTCCTGAATCCCCTATTTTCTCATTGCTCACGCCGCGACCGCGCGACTTGGCGAGGGAGTGCCAGGCGGCAGGGTTTATGGTGCGCGCTATTGTGGCGCCAACTGTTCCGGTAGGAGGAGAGAGGGTAAGAGTTTGTTTGCATGCGGGGAATAGTTTCGAGGAGGTGGAGAGGTTAGTAGGGGTTGTAGGGAAGTGGGTGGGGAGGATGGAGGCGGAGGGGGCAGAGAAAGCAAGGTTATAGATGGGAATTGTACGATAGAGGATAATATCAAATGGGCGAACAAAAAGTGAAACCACGGATATATAACAGAATAATATAAATCCAAGAACCAATATAAAAACAGATATATAAATAGCCACAAGCAAAAAAAACCGAAAGCGGAAACCCCCAACCTGCCGAAAGAAGCGGGTAGTGGAGTAAGTGCTGATATGATAAGTTACCTAGTATTTCTTATCCACCAGCAATCGCGACTTCCAGACGAACTTTCTCAAGAATACTCACATCTTCAATCCATCAATTATACGAGGAATCCATCAATTATTCGCGAACTATTATCTATAATATAATCAAGATGGCTCAAGCGTCTAGTCAGGACTGGAACAGAGGCGAAAAATCGGGTCTTGTATCAATAGGTTCTCACAGTCTCTACATGGCAGTGTCGGGTCCCGACCGACGAGAAGGCGAACCAATCGTCGTGTTGATGACAGGCCTTGGGAGTACCATCGACGAATGGGTGGCCGTACGACGACTCATTGAACCATTTTCACGGGTCTTGTTTTACGATCGATCAGGATTGGGGAAAAGCGAGGGACCAGCCAATGCTCCAAAAGCTATCAGCGCCGTCTCTATAGCCACGGAGCTCGACACCCTCCTCAAAAATGCAGGCATCGATCCACCATATGTTATACTGTGTCATTCTCGAGGCGGCATTACAGCAAGAGAGTTTCTGCATTTACGCCCCAATGATGTTGCGGGAATGGTATTCGTCGATGCGAACCAGGAGAATACGTTTACGGGTCACGAGGACTTCCCTTCGCCAGGTTTCGAAGCCATGTTAATTGGCATTGATTACTACGAGATTGCGGGTATCAAATCAAATACCCCGCTCTCGAAGGAAGAATTTCAAACTGTGTTGGATATACAAGGAAAACCTTCGACCGCGATCACTTCGAAGGCGGAGGAGGCAGGCGCAAAAGGAGATTCCTCAGTTCTGGCAGCAAAGAAGCAGCTTCAAAACCAAGCTTTAGGAAACAGGCCAGTCAGTGTTATCCACGCCAACACAGCTCGAGATTTTCAGCGGCTGTATGAAGCTGGTATTGAGGCGGGCAATGGATCTGAAAGTGACCGTCAGGAGTTTCGAGATATTGTGGAATTCTGGAGAGAGACTTCGACTATGCGTGCCAAAGAGATACTGGGTCTTTCAAGTGTGCATAACTTTCGAGATGCAACGGACAGTGGGCATAATATTCAGCTCCTTGAGCCGGAACTGATTGTTGACGAGCTGAAGTGGGTTTATAATCATCCGGCAAAGAAGGATTAGGACGGATGGGTGTTTTGCTTTTTAGTGTTGAGTTCAATCAGACAAGTCTTAAAACAACGAGAATATGTCCCCATTGCAGCCCAGAATTACTCATAAAATCCTTCAACCGCTGAGAGCGCCATCCCTACGCTAAAGGCGCTAGAGTAGGTTACGCTACATATCGCCAATGCGAAGCTTTCGCCCCCATCTTTCCCCGCCTTCCTTCGCGCCTCCAGCTCCCTAATTACAGTGCCTGTGCTTGGCGGCGTGCGCTAATCACATATGATAGCTGGAGCGCATTCTCACAACATTGTTAGCTCCCACGTCATCTACGACGGATTGGATTTCAAATACAAGAAACGAACTTGTGTGAGGAACGGCCATGTGAAGAAGAAAAAATGTGTCCGTAGGGCAACCTGCTGATGAGATCTGACTTCTCATGTGGTTGCACTATATGCCCATGCCGGCATATACAGCCATATTACTAGCATTGCATAGAACAAAAGTGCATTCCACATGACATGCGACCAGTTGCAGCAACGAGCACCCTTCGTCGTATGGTACACGTGTTACGAAATAGGCAGTTAGGGGTGAGTGATTCGGGCCTATCCAACCTCAAGGGGCCTTCGTAGGATTCTCGCCAAGGAGGATTCCCGCTGTACAAGATTTCATGCAAGTAAGCCTATAACCGCCACCATTTAACTCTATGTTTAAGGAATAGATGTGGGGAACCAGCTATAAATTATGTAAAGTCAACCCAGTATATAAACCCCTCTTCCCACATCCTTTCTCCATCCCGAACTCTTATACCACAAAAGGCATATTTCCAATAACAAACATAACCATCACCGTCAACATGAAGCTCACTCTCGTCTTTGCCGCCCTCCTCGCCGTTGCCTTTGCGGCACCCGCCATTCAAGCTGAGGCAGAGAAACGCCAGGACAACTGCGGCATCTGCTGGGAAGGTGAGAAGCTGTGCTGGGACTGCACTGATGGGACCTGCGGTTATGACCCTAGCCCTTGCTAAATATTTACGTGTATGGCAGTAATTTTGAATGATATTCGGTATCTAATGGTTGCTTAGCTATTGAGATCTCGCTCTTTTTGCAATGAAACTAGCGGCCTAACTCCCGTTCTTGAGGCGTTGACGTGAATTGCTGGTGGGAGGGAAACTATGAAAATAACAATATAGAGCTTCCATAGCTCAATAAAAAACCAACCTGGCACCATCTCACATCTTTCGACCTGTATAGTCCATTTTTGCAACCGTTGCGGGAGTGCCACTTTTATCCGCCAAAGTTTCATCAGCAAACTCGATTCCAGCGTCCATGAACTTATTTATCTCAAACAGTTCAGCAAATCCATTTTTCTGTAGAGTCTTAATAGCAGACATTACCCACGTAACACAGTTCTGCTCCGGCATGACATTTTTTTGAGGGACTGGGATCGACTGAAGGCGTGTTCGAATTTCTGATATCTCAACCCCATTCGGAATCTTTCCAATCATAATCAAGCCGAGTAAGCTGCCACTAATGGTAGGGTTGCTCCGAAAAATCATTCATGGTTTGGATTAAGATCAATCCTGGTTTCTGGATCTGGCCTGGCTGCATCACTGACATCGAATGAGTAGCAATCAGGTTCCTTGTAGACTTTTGGTGAGATGAGAATCCCCCAATGGTATGCGGCGTAACCCAGTCGCTGTCTGTTTTCTCCGAGCGAAAGGACGCCACGATAATGAATTGAGACAAATACTCGGCGTTTATTGCTCATGTTTCTGATGGTGTGATATTTGTTGAGTTCCTTTCGAGTTCCTTTTCGTCGCTACCAACACTATTGGCGCTTATAACAACTAACAAATACTCGCGCCGCCCAAAAGTCCGAAAGAGGGGTTGTCTTTGCCGAGAATCTATATCAACTATTTAAGATGATAGGACTCTTCTCTTTATCTCTATTTTTGAGTCGCTGGCTTGTTGATTACAACACTGGGTGATTAGATGCCTCCTTTGAACACTTGGAGGAGGGATGTGCATATCAGGCAGCACAGGCGGCCGCAGAATAGACCCCACTGGGGTAGGTTTCCCAACTCACGGTTCCTCTCATACTCATATTTGAGTTGGAATCACTGCTGGTGGCCGACGCTTCAAAGGAACCACGATTTATGTGTCCAACCACAGAGTTTATCCCATTAGGCTGCCTTCTCAGAATTTAAGCCATAAATATAATAAAGATTCGGCTATATAATAATTCTCAAACATTACTGTGAAATTATACTCATCTTTGATCCTTGAATCAGACAATAAGTAGATCTATTTTATTTCGAATTATTAATTGTAACAAATAGTTACAATTTATTTAACAAGGCCGAGAACAAAAATTTCCATCGTAACAATACAAATAGACATGAAGGTTCTTAAAAACACCACCATTCTAACCCCAGACATAAACTTATACCTTCCTGACTATCCACTCCTTTGAAAACTTGTTGCAAATATCATCGGTATCATAATTCGGCACTTTCAACACAGAATTTAGTTCGTGGAACTTATGCATCCACTTAACAAGTGCCAGCAAACCACGAGACTCCTTTTCTATGCCATTTCATTTGTGTGGTCTCCTTGCTCCTTTTTCAATACCCATGTGTGGGGTTCCCTTGCGATTTTTCCAACTTTCTGGCTATAATTGCCTGTGAAATCGGTTGGGTCCCCATCATCGTTAGAATGCGGATATGGCATCTATTTAACACCGGTTAGCAAAGTAAAAAGAAGGTGGTGGTTTGATTCTATGATAACTTACTCTTCCGCTACGTGCCATTTCGACAGCTTACATAACTACACAGCAGCTCTCACTGTGGTCTGGTTTGGTATACAGTAATTAGTAACCATAAAAGCTCAAGTGGTGCCATGGAATACCTACGTTTGCCACACTTATCTTCTTCCCCAACCGTTTGTTCAAAACACCCACTAGTCCTGCACGTATCTATGACAAGTGATAACAACGTTAGCTGGTACTTCACATCCAATTCCAGTTATGTTAGGTAAAATTTAACCCGAAAAGAACTGAAATACTTACGTCCATCGCAAAACATTGATTCAATTGATCTGATATTCCTACAGCCAGCTACGGTACATGAATCTACAGGCGCCACATTGTCAGCAATCGACGTAGTTAATGTAACTCATAGTTTCTGACATTGGGGACTTACGGCCATAACAACGGGTATACCCAAAAGTCCAAATTTGGACAGGGCAGGTTCCTCCATTCGTGAAGGGAACAGTGCACTGATCTGTGTTGAGGACATAACCGTCAGGTTTAGTACAGCCCAATCAATGGCCCATGGAAACTTACGGTCCTTACAACTTGTCATCTCCGGCGTTCTAATAGGTGCACCGCAGCCTTCCTTTTCTGTATGAACCCGACATGTATCTGAAAAAATGCCAGTCAGCAAGCTATCATTTTCTAGCTCCTGAGATAGGGAACACTTACGGATTATACAAAATAGCCTTGGCCAAGCTGTCGGGTTGTTGCATGCTAACGGATAGGAGCACGTATCTATGTAATTTTATTAACATCAAGGTAGGTCTTGGTTCCAGTCGAGGAAATCCTCAGGTACAAGCAGAGTGAGAGAGTGATATCAGCACTGGTGGACTTACGCATATTGCAAAACGTACTGTTTGCACATACATCAGTCGGGCAGCCTCTCGCCCGACACTTTTCTCCCGCCGCCATGCTTGACGTCCGTTCTTTCAACGTATTGACCAGAAGCATGTGTCTTGAGCGTGAATCAACGAAATGAAAATCAAAAAGTAAAAAAAGCACAGAGAAAATAACGACGACTTGGACCTCCTACAAACACCCTTCCTCCGAGACGAGCACCAGACGGAGTTATAAGCATTCCCCATCCCCGTTTAAACACCCTCCGGCGCGCCAAAGCGCGTCAGAACGGCTGCATCTCTACGAACCACCCGCGCTCCTCCGCGCCACTATGAGGCTGGTAATAGGTGACTCCCATCTGCAATGCAATGCAGCTGCCTGGTATACCATCATCATAGCATGCACGGCCTATGAAGGCATCATGCCCTCGATGCAGGTTCTGCGAGTATGCAAGGCTGCACGAGGACGCATTTTCGAAACAGGGTTACAAACCATGGGGACGGGATGGCAGGTGGGTAGTGGGGGCTGGAGGGGCGTCAAGGAGTCGTGGTAGTGGGAACCTTGGAATCGGTGCGCTTAAAGTGGTGTAAATGTAAAAACTCCTGCTGTCCTGGATACGCTTCATCAAAGCTATTGCATCTCTACTCACAAACCAGGACCTAATTTCAAATGACGTCCAAAGAGATATCTACACCGATGTAGCGGTGAGGTCTTCCCCATGGCCATCTCCAACATTGCGGCCAGGTAGATTCTCACTTTGTGAGTCGATGGATGGTTGTTGGTGGTCACGTTATATGCGGCCAGTACATGCCAGCGCGCAAGCCTTGTTGGATATCCACCTAAATATAATCGAGCGCCAAACTCGATGATGGGATTAGTCGCAAGTCAGTGCACCAGTAGCAGTTGTCAAGTTTAGTAGTATCAGTACTGATTTTTGGGAAGCGAATAGGTATGATGTATGTGTTTTCGAATTAGATATCCAACATTGAAATAACTACGCTAATAAATAATACTCGCCCCCAATCATCCACACTTCTTTATTACTTACTCATAAGGTATCCGCGTGCGAAACTTGGTTAAAATAAGATAGACCCCATCAAACAATACTATCCCCAACTGGGCGGCGCGCAATAGAAGGCTCCGCAACGCGAGCACCCGGGACACCATTGTGGCCTGTGTGAGCACCAGGAACGCCATGCTGGGTATGTCCCATCACACCACCAGCATGGTTCCCACCCATGACTCCATTATGCCCATTATGCGCATATCCCTCTGTCATCACCCCGCCTTGCGAGTGCCTTCCCGTAAGTCCACCTCCCATCCCCATCCCTCCAAGCGCAGAGGCATCAAACGGCGCACCTCCCATCCCCGCGCCCTCGACTCCCCATCCCACCTTGCGCGTGAACACAGCCTCGCCGCCTTCCATCTCGCCCGCCCCATATCCGAAAGGCACATTTCGGTTCAGCGGGATGTGGTTGAATCTGAAATCCCAGACGGATGCATACACCATTCTGTACGAGCTGAAGGCGAACATGGTCCCGATGATGGCACCGGCGACGCAGTCGTACCAGTTGTGAAACTCGTCGATGGTGAGGGAGCCAGCGATGAGGGTCGCGGCCAGGACGGGGGCGTAGATGGCGATTAATTTCCACATCGCGGGGTGGTGGTTGGCGAAGACCTTGAGCTTGGCGTTGAGGTAGAGGTAGAGGAAGATGAAGCCCGCGAAGGCGGCCGTGGAGTGGCCTGATGGGAAGGACTCGAGACTGTCGTCGATCTGGTCGCGGTCGCCGGTGCAGATGGCGTCCGTGTACATGATCTGCTTGTAGCCTGTGCCAGTGTTGGTGCCTTCGGGGATCTGAGGCTTGCATACGGCGAGGAAGTGAGGGCGTAGGCCGCCGATTAACCATTTTAAGAAGACTTGGAAGACGGCGGCGGAGATTAGGGAGTAGAGGAGCCCGATGATGGCGTTGTTGACATCCCAGAAAGACCGGATGCGGACTTGCATGCAGAGGATGATGAAGATCGGGATCAGGGCTGCCATCAGCGCGGCGGCGTAAATGGGGATGATGTTCTTCCGGAGGGGGTAGGAGAATTCGGGGTAAACTATCTCGCCGTCGCGGAATTCAATAGGGAAGGATCGAGTTGGCGCTGGATGCGCTTCGTAGACCTGGACTGCATTAGTGATTGATATAGGATGGAGAGAGAACTGCTTACCCCGAGGCCAATGGCACCCATGATAACCATAGTGAGGATGTCAAGCCATGTGCACTTGAGCCACTGTCCAAATGTCGGTCTGCGAGAGTAGGCCAGGACATAGGGCTCATGATTCCCTTTGGTTTGGCGGTTTCCAAAGTTTCCAAATAGGCCTCGTCGTTGGGTAGGCTGCTTGGTCTCGGTGACGGTTTCAACGGGAGCGGTCTGCCCGGGAACAGGCTCTTCCCGCCGACGAGTGAAGATGCCCATTTTGGTTATGGCACAGAGCTTGAACGACAGTAATAGTGGTAGTTGTTGTAATGGCTCCTTCTGGAGCTGTATATATTCCTTTCTGGTGCTTCAAATCCACGGAACAAGACCACCACGCAAAGAAAGCAGACCAGCCTACCTTTATACCACCTACCGTCGACAAATATGACCTATATCCATGGCAGAACCAAGCTTGATGCCCTCGTCCCTGTCGCTGCCCCTCTTCCCTCCACCTCTCAGGGTCCAGACTGCTCTCACTTTTTTTATATGTGACGTCATGTTTGTTGTTGATCACAGGAAGCTCCCTGGTCCATACTATAGCAAACTATACTAATGGCATAAAAGTGCCACAATTAACAGGAAATGGCCGATCTGACGTTTGAGCACGGTTAAAACGGCCCTGTGGTTGGGTCAGAATCTAAAATAACAAGCATGTTCCAAGGAAATGGCTGCCGGCACTTGGCAGTAGCAGCATTGTGATGTATGGTACGTACTCAACCACAGCATCTCCTGAATCCACAACATATGTGTGGCTGGTGATTATTATACGTTTTATTGATCTTATGCCTTTTCTACATATACACTCCTCATATCATACATATATACAGTATCTCCCACGCAGCCACCCTACCACAGCACCTCCGCGCTGACCTGGGCCTGCTCCCCCACTCCCGCCTTCGCAAGACGCTCCAGCGCCTCCCCTTCCAGTATCCGTGAATGCCACGCGCGCACAAACCGTCGCGCCTCAGCACTATCCTTGAACTTGACAATAAACCTCGGCGGCCCCCTAAACCCCTTCCCCTTCTTCTGCTCTCGCTGCCTCTCCCCACCCTCGCTATCCCATCCCTCTTCCTCGTCCTCATCCTGTTCCCCCTGCGCAACCTTAGGATCGCTCTTCGACCCCAATAACACAATGTCCTCTTTTCCTCCCTCCAATCTCCACTGCAAATTCCTCTCCTTCCCATCCAGTCCAATCGCAAGCCCAAGCTCAAACGCATTCATCTTCCCTCGATCCAAGCCCACCAACACCAGATTCTCCCCCTGCCGTCCCGCCTCTGGCGTAATAAGCGGATGATACCCCCCCGTCTCAATCATCCGTGCCACCGCAGGTCGATACGGTTTCTTCACCACCTTACTAAACAGTAACTTCTGGCTGCTCGGCACAATCGTAAACGCGCTCACGAGCGCAGCCACATCTTCCCCATCAACCAGCACCCCTGGCACCGGCGCCATCCTGCTTGTCGCGCACGTCGGCGTCCATTTGCGGCTCAGATAATGCAGTCGCGCGATATTGTCCTTATATGCCTGCGCCGCCGCTGCAGTTGAGAAGAGGACGAAGTAATGCGATTGCCTTGCCAACGTCGTTGGGTCGCGGCCAGGAATCACGCGCTGAATCCCTGAGGTCCAGCCCTCGATGTGGGAGCCGCGCGGGGAGAGGCGGATGAAGTCGCTCAGGGCGAGGTGGCGGGAAGTGCTGGAGATGACGAGGACAGTGGCGGCGAGGCGTTGGCGGAGGGTGTGCGGGTCGAGAGAGGGGGAGGTCGGAGGTTGGTGGTCGGGGTGGAGGAAGGGGCGGTCGGGTTTGGGGGTGTTGAGGGGCTTCCAGGAGGTGGATGGGGGGAGGCCGAGGGCGCTTGGGTCGAGTTTGGGGAGGTCGTCTGTGGAGGGTTTGGAAGTGGTGTTGTTGGTGCTTGAGAGAGCTTCTTTGTATTCTGGGAAGAGCTCTTCGAGGATTGTATTCGGTTTTTCGTTCGCTCGTAGGGTTTTGGTATTCGTCACTGGGGGGTTGGGTGCTGGGGAATCGACCAGGCTTGCATCTCTCAAGGCACTTCCAAGCTCCTTGAGTTCAGCTCCTATCCCATCTCCACCAGCCACTCCCTCCTTCCTCCTGAACTTAGGCGGTGGCCGTCGTGCAAGCCTCTGCGCCCCATCGCGCACCCTCCCACCTTCTCTATGTAAACCTCCATCTCCAAGCGCCGCACTGACCCCTGAGCCCTCTCCCTTCTGCGCCAAATCAACGCGTCGTATGTTCGGAGGATTCGACTGGCCGTCGGTGCTATAACACTGCAGCCGCGCCGCGGCCAGGAACCGCCGAGCGGCCCATGTCGGTGACAGGCATTGCGAGTGTCGCGGCCGAGTCAGCAGCATTAGCTTCGCCCAGCTCGCAGGTGGTGACTGCGATTCGACCGGTCACAGGGCGTGGTGCGTCGAGTCGAGTCGAGTCGTCGCCGTTCGTTACGTAGGGTGGTTAAGTGGATGTTGAGCTTCCTTCGACGCTTCTCTCGGCGATAAGCGTCGATAGGAAGAAGTGCACTACAAAAAAATTGGCGAATGAGAATTCCGCAACGACAACGCCTTTCTCAAGCACAACTGCAGCACTGGAGAGCTTCAGAATAACAGAGAAAAACAGACAAAGACATCTCTGATATAATGACTGACCTCCAGAATGCGCAAAGATGCGCTGAGGTTAAGATCCGCACGCTGCCAAACGTAGAGCGCTCAGATCGCAAAGATGTGTCACGTGTCTTCCTCTCCATGGACACCCTCCTCGAGCTGAGGTTGGAGGCAGGACAGCCCTGTTCGGTATGGAAGGTTGAGGATGCGGATTCAAGGCGGGAGGCTATTGCGTGGCCGAGCGCGCAGAAGATAAATCGGAATGTGATGCAGATGTTTAAGAGTTTTCAGGATCACTGCGGGTTCCGGTTGGAGGATCGGATTGCGGTTGCGCCTGCTGGACCGCTGGTTACGGCGGATATTGTGGTTTTGAGGGATGTGAGTGGAGGTACGGCACTGGAGGAGAAGGATAGAGCTCATTGGGAGTGGTATTTAGAGGATAAACTGGGTATGTATTGTCCCGTGGCGCTCTATATTACCATCTTTGCTAATATGATACAGTCCGCGCCGAATCAATCTTCACAGACATGTTATATGAAATCACCCTCAAAGGCCGCCGCTCCTTCATAGTCGAGTCCTTCCTCCTCTCCGGACGCCCCCTCCCCAACAAAATCGCCCACTTCTCCCCCACCTCCCGCGTCCAGATCATCGACGAGCAAGCCGCCGCCCTCGAGCGCCCCACCACCGGTCCCCGCCCAACCCTCCACGTCTCAGGAATCGCAGGCATCGATTCCGCCCTCCAGAAACTCAATGACGTCCTCGCGGACTTCTCGGACGTTGCTAAGACCTCCCCAGCCTGGGGCAGGCGCGCTTGCGGCGTCCTCCTCCACGGCGCCCATGGCAGCGGAAAGACGCTCCTCCTCGAGCGCGTCGCTGCTACCGGATGGGGCCGCGTCTTCCGCATCGACGCCGATGCAAAGACACAGGCTATCCGCGAGGTCTTCAAGGATGCCCGCCTCACCGCCCCAAGCATAATCCTCCTCGACGACCTAGAGGGTCTCGCTGCCGCCGACCCACCCAAGCCTGCTATCACTGCTCTTCTCAGCGACGAGATGGCCCGTCTCAGCAGCGACGCTGTGCAGGTTGTTGTTCTCGCCGCTGCGGCATCCGCATCTGCTGTTCCGCTCCCCCTGCGCAAGCGCGGTAGATTCACGACGGATATCCTCCTCCCCATCCCTGATGCGGATGCACGGAGACAAATCCTGCGTTCTCTCGGCCCGAAGGAGGAGGGAGAAATCAAACTCCTAGACCGCCTCGCCGAGCGAACCCACGCATACACAGCCGAGGACCTCGCCCTACTCCTCGACCGCGCATGCTTCCTCGCACGTCACCGTCGACGCGGAGAAGCCGCCTCAACCACCCCCGCCACCCCTCCGGGGCAACTCGAGCTTCCAACCACCGACGCCATCATAGTCGCCGCTCCCTCTACGCCACTCGATACCCCAGCTCCCTCATCTACCACCCCACCCACCCCCTCCCTCACACAACCCGACCTCGACCTCGCGCTCCTCTCCGTCCGCCCAACAGCCATGCACGACATCACCCTCCGCCCCCCCAAAGTGCACTGGTCCGACATCGGCGGCCAGCACGCTCTCAAACGCGCTCTCCGCCGCGCTGTGGAGACGCCTCTCCGTCACCCTGCTCTGCTTGCTCGTCTTGGCGCTGCTCCCAAGAAAGGACTCCTTCTGTACGGTCCGCCGGGGTGCAGTAAGACGCTCTCAGCGGCTGCGGTAGCGACGGAGGCGGGATTTAATTTCTTCGCAGTGAAGGGGGCGGAGCTGTTGAATATGTATGTTGGTGAGTCTGAGAGGGCGGTGCGGGAGGTTTTTGCGAGGGCTAGGGGCGCGGCGCCAAGTATTGTGTTTTTTGACGAGGTGGAGGCGATTGGAGGGAAGAGGGAGGGGAGGGGGGGAGGGGGCGTGAATGTGTTGACGACGTTGTTGAATGAGATGGATGGGATTGAGACGCTCAAGGGTGTAATGGTTTTAGCAGCGACGAACAAGCCAGAGGCGTTAGATGTAGCGCTCTTGCGACCGGGACGGTTCGATGAGCTGCTCTACGTAGCGCCGCCGGATTTGGAAGGGCGGGTGGAGATTCTAGAGGGGAGGAGGAGAAAGATGGATTGGGAGGCGGACGTGGAGGTGGCGTGGTTGGCGGAGAGGTGTGAGGGGTACAGTGGAGCGGAGATTGTGGGGGTTTGTCAGGCGGCGTGTGATTGTGTGATTGATCGCGTGCTGGAGACGGGGGATATGGGGGCGAAGGTTGGGAGGGGGGATTTTGAGGTCGCGATGGGGAGGGTGAAGAAGCAGATTACGGAGGAGATGGTGGAGGGGTATAGGAGGTGGGCGAAGGGGGTGGGGAATGGGGTGGAAGCTGAGTGAGAGGGAGGTTGGGGGGGAAGGAGTTGGGTTTTTTGGTGCATTGGTAGGGAAAAGGATAGAAGTCGTTTACGAATATAGATGGAGTTGGGTTTGAATATAGAGATCGTGGCAATAGAGAATGATAGAAGCGAGTGTCATCTATAGCAAAAGTGCCCAGCCTAATTCACGGCCCAAACATCACACTATTCGCAACCAACAAAACATCCATGAGTAAGGTAAGATGTCTAGATCAATACCAATCCTCCACCATGTTTATCATCCCAAATACCCGTCCTCACAGGCACATCATCCGTCCCCCCCTTCGCCCGCCACCCAATCCATCTAATTCCCAATATCACAATCGCAGCGAGGCGGCCACCAATGCACAAACGACTCGTACAGCACTGCCAAAACGCTCCTCAGACTTAGTAGCCCAGACCAACGAGGTAGTCAGCGAGGGTCTCGACGGTCTGGGCAGCGTTGCCTGCAACGACATTCTCGCCGTAATGCGAGACGATGATGGCCTGTGTGGTCTTGGCGATCACGATACCGTTCTTGCCCTATACGACGTTGTCAGATTTTGTTTGCCCAAGTCAACAGCTCCTGGCCTGTACCCAGGGCACTGCAAACGGGGGAAACACAAAACCGGCTTACCTGGCGGCCGTAGATACTCCGTCCCTCAACCTTGAACACGACGAACCTCTCCCCTGCAACGTGAAGGCCCTCTGTCCACAGCTTGTCTGCTGCCGCGCCGCCTGCTAGTGCCGCAACGATGCTCTGCATCTCCTCTGGCTTAACCTGCTGGGCATCAGCACCGTCATCGTATCTGGACCTCCATCCCGGCAGCATCGAGAGATAACCCTCCGACGCGTGGTGGAGGTGTACGCACCTCAAAGCCTGGGGTCTTGGCCCACACGCTGTCGCCTGCAGCGCTGATCAAGGCGGCCTTGTCTGAGTGGCCGGAGCCCACCAAGCTATGTCCCCCATCAGCATGTATTCCATCTCGACATTGTAGTCCCATCATGTCGTCGCCGGTGCATTTCGTAGGCCCCCTCGTTCATTCTCTCATTGTATGGGTCGGGGATGGGTAGTGTACCTGCTATCAACATATGCTATACCAACCCGTTAGCAACCGTTACTCACCGCGGGGTACACATCTCCCCCACGTCTCGCACTCCCCCCCTCCATCGAACAGAGATCCAACATACCTTGCCACGACATCTTGGAATCGCTTAACACTGTAGGGAGCTGTGAGGGTGTAGAAAAAAAGGCGGTATTGAGAAGTGTGTTTTGTGGTTACAAAAGTTGCAAAAGTGCGAGTGTTGAGACGGAGGGGGGAGCAGGGTGGGGGGTTATGACGCCTGGAGCTAAGCTGCCGGGGCGGGAATCGGTAAGCGAGTGCGGGTTTGTTTTGCCATCATATCATTTTTATAGAGGGGTAGGTCTTTTTTTAAATATTTCGGCCGGAAACGGACTCTACGAATTTATATTTGGGCTGAACATAACTTGTAATTGGGAATCATTATAGTAAGGATGATATAAGTGATCATCTAATATCTTCTCCAACATTCTCCTTTTCCCCTTTCTCACAGCCTTCTTCCACCTAGTCACGAAATCGTCTATCACGTGACAGTATATATCTCTCAACCTCCAAGGTCACATCTTTGTTGCCTGATGTTCTGATACATCAAATCAACAATGCCACGCCTCTCCCCGTGCATTCTCCAAGCCCCCAGATTCACAATCTCAAGGCCTCTATTCGCCATCCCAAGGCACCCACGAGCCAATTTCCCTTCCCCCTTCCACCTCCCAACCCGCGCCATGTCCTCCACCACCCCACCCCTCCCCGCTATCAGCGTATCCTCCAACTCAGACCCCGACGCCGTCACCGCGGCCCTCCCACCTCTTCTCGAGCGCTGGTCGCTGACACCCACAAACGCCGGACTCCAACGCTCTTTCAAATTCAAGACCTTCAAAAAGACATGGGCATTCATGGACGCCGTAGCCGCTGAAGCAGCGAGGACGAAACATCACCCCGAGTGGTCCAATGTATGCCCCTTCTCCCTTTCCCTTTCTCCCCTCCCCCTTCTTCCCACCAGCTCCAAGCAGGCAGCCAGTCAATTAATAAAACAGCAAGAATCGAATACTAACACCCCCAGGTCTACAACACAACCCTAATCCGCTGGACCACCCACCACCCCCCCGGCCTGTCCTCTGCCGACATCACCATGGCCCAATTCTGCGACACCTGCGCGGCGGAGCACGACGAGCTGCCTGCTGAGAAACCCGCTGCGGTTGTGGGAACTGATGTTCCAACCGGAGAGGGGGGGGATCCATTGCAGGCGTTGGCGGATGGGGTGGTGGTGGAGGGGGGGGAGTGTTGTGTGCCGAAGTATGCGAGGAAGGGGCAGGGGGCGGTGGAGAGGATGGAAGGGGTGGTGGCGGAGGAGTTGCATGATAAGGGTCCTTGAAGGAAGGGGGTGATGGATGGGAAGGTGAGGGAAGGGAAAAGGGGGAAGGAGGCGGTGTAATGGCGGGGGAGTAAGGGGTGTTGTGTAATTTTGTTTTATCTATGTGTATCTCTATTTACCACATTCGTTGAGATGTAGATACTGTATCTGTTCAAAAAGAACTATCTAATATAAACTATTAACCTATCCGAATTTTCATACCGACTGCTTTCCCCCGGATATACCAATCAATATATATAGGAGCTCCTTGAAAGAATGCAAGGGAAAGAATGCAAGGGAAAGAATGCAAGGGAAAGAATGCAAGGGAAAGAATGCAAGGGAAAGAATGCAAGGGAAAGAATGCAAGGATTATAACACATCCGTCGACATATACAGGATCTTCCGGCTTGTCGTCCTTGTTACCCTTACTTCGCATCTCCACATTGCATATCTGCGTTGCTCCAGGCAGTGATGACAGGTCCGAAGATTCATTCAACGAGAACCGAAACGGCGACAGGATAATGGAACATCAGGAAAGTGGTAGCAACAGCAACACGATTCTGACAGCGACAACAGAATGGCGAAAGAGATTAAAACGACAGCAAGAGCACCACCTCCCCAGTACTTCCACACCGTCACAACACTTACCATGCTTGCCGAAGACTGTTGTCTCCTTCCTCTCTCTTGGAAGTAAGCTTTATTTGCATTTCCTGCATCTTGGTGTGAGGTAATAGGACACAACGTAGTAGTGGTTTATATAGTGTGGTGAGGTCCGTAGGTAGCTATTCGATGATGGTTTGACCTCAGGAGAAGAGTGGGATTCGTTGTTGGTGGGGGATTATGGGATAGCTTGCTGGGTAAATGGATATGAGGGATGTGAGATTTGGCATGAAGGCATGATAAACGAATATACTATACATACATTCACAGTTCCTCACCAAGGCAGACATACAACTACATTCTTAACTTGATTAACGATTATTAATGCTCATATATCTGCCTCCCATCTATCCGACCCAACAAAATCCCATCTGTTTTTGTACAAGAAATAGTGGCGTAATTACGGGCCCATCATCCATCCAAATATCTCGCCAGCCCCTCCTCCCAAACAAAGGAGCGGAGCTTTTTCTACGGCGGTGCCCTGCACGCCTGAACGCCGTCTGTGTCTGTCTGTCGTTACAGATATCTCATTCTTCGTTTCGGGTTCACATCCTCCCCCACGGCAGAGGCTGGTCCACTACACGCCTCACAAAACGGCACTGTAACGATATCCATGCCACCACTAAGGCTACACACATTTACTGTGCCTTCTTAGCCTTCTTCGCATCCTTGGCGAGCTTCCTGTCGCGTCTTGCCTTCGCCGCCTCCGGTCCAGCCTCCGTATCAAGGACGAAATCCCACCAGCGGAACGAACTAGCATAGTTGCCAATGAAGCGCTCGTGATGAACATCGTGATGCTCAGCACCCGCCCAGAACGGCAAGAAGTGGTGCAGCGACCAGGGGAACTCGTATCCGGAGTGCGCATCGATAGCCTGGAAAAGACGGCAGACGATCCAGAGGTACATAGTCAGAACGTGCAAGTCGCCAGTGATAGCGCACCATAGCACAGGGCCGAGGACTGTTCCGGCACCGAGAATCATGACTTCGATGGGCGAGGCGTACTCAGCTGCCAGACCGAAGGGGGCGGAGTAGTTGTGGTGGATCTTGTGGACGGAGCGGTAGAGGGGACCCCAGTGCATGGCGCGGTGGGTCCAGTAGTGCCAGGCGTCCTCGAAGACGAAGAAGATGGCGATGTGCATGGCGATCTTCCACATGGGCGGGAAGGGGACGCCGGTGTCCATGCCGAAGAAGACGGCCATGGGGTGGAAGACCCAGATTTGGGGGAGCTCGACGGTGAAGTGGGAGAGGAGAACCATTTTGGTGCAGTGCCATTGTTCGGCGGCGGTTGGAATTTTGCCCTGGAGAGGTGCGTGTTAGTTTAGTGTGATGAGGGTGGGAAGGAGGGGGGTTGTGGTGGGGATGAGGGGGGACGTACTGCTTGGATCTTGTATTTGTTGAAGTAGGGCATGCTGTCGATGATGATCCAGGGGAGGGAGCGACCGAAGTAGACAACTTCGTGCATCACGAAGGACATGATTCCAGTCGCGAGCACGTCGTTCTGCATGTATGCGTACCAGGCCTTGGGGTATGTTAGCACATTGAAGTCGAGCCAAGGGGGTGGAATAACGTACGGCCCAGAGGCGCTCAAAGACATTGAGAGTCTCGCCATTGTAGTGGGTGATGCCATTGTACTGGTCCCAGTATGTCGCCGCGGCGATTGTTGCGTTCCTATGGCACTGGTTAGAACTAATTTCCCGCGATATTTTTCTGTCCGGAGACAGAACGCGCCCAGTGGAGCGTATTGTCCGAGCCTTTCTTGCAGAAGAAGAGGGATGAGAATACTTACATTATGGCGATATAGCACAGAGGCTATCAGACGATTGTTGAGGATATCGCGGCCACAATCGAGGGGGCAGTTGTGAAGTATAAGTAGGTGGAGAGGAGGAAAGGAGACGGGAGTGGGAGGGAGTGGTATGGAAGGACTTCCAGTGATAAAAAGGTTAAGACTAGAAGAATAAAGGAGTACGTACCCGAGGAGATGGCCACCATTGTGGCGTGCAACGCAGGGGCAACGCGGGGCGGCTAGGTTTGATTTGGACTAGCGCATAAATGGATGGGAGATTGTCCAGTAAGAGACTTCGCGTTGGAGTCGTTGGGGTGGATAAAGGGTTGTTATCACCACGTGACACAGATTCTTCAGACAGCCACTATCGTATTCGGGTTGAGGGTCCAGCCTAGAGGCCACAACCACTAGATTATGTACACACACAGCAAAACATGTATGAAGAGATACTTCGCATATGATCTCGAATCCGTAATCGTACTCGGGGACAGGCCCCAGCACGCAACTCTCTTCTCCAGTTATACTGAGTAAAACATATATATATATCATAAGCAAAGCCTCAATTGTATCTCCGGATAGCCATGCTTCCGGATTACAGTCATCAGTCACTCGGCATCTGTTTACGGATACCATGGAGGTCATGTTCTGGACCTTCACCTCCATCGGGAAACTCGCAAGGTCTCTGTGAAACTACAATCGGGAATGCCTCAACGTCCAACTATTGAACTCTTCAAACGTCTTGAATATGTCTATTTACAACCTCTATACCCGTGAGCCAGGAGGCATGAGCCTTGAGAATATCATATATAAATTCAGTGAACCTGCCCTTGCTGACTCTCGCCGCCATATACCCGTTAGTGCCGATCCCTGCCACGAACCTTTTTCATAGGTAGCTCACAACGTCATCGCCAAAAAATCCCCGAGCTTGTGAAGAAACCCGAAAACCCACAGCTCTTCCAAACGCCACAGAACTGAATTCCTTCTCGAGCTTCGGCCAATGCATATACCCAGTCCGGCGTGATGTCTATAGTGGCAGAGTAAGGAACCCTGTCCCCTGCAGAGTCACTCGAAAATTGCTAATGAACCCCAAGTCAGGTCCGACGCGTCGACTCGCAGTTGGACAGACTGCAACTCGCGCACCTCAAATCCGCCACCTCTTCACCTATACTGACCTACCGACGCCTCTCTACCACCTCCGAGGCTGTCGAACAAATATCTACCTCCCCACAAATCGAAGAGCTCCAGGTCCTCATCAAAGCCCTCTCAGCAACGTCGTCGTCGAGAGCACTACTCACAGCATGGCGGATCTCAACACTCCTTGAGCAGGCGGGCCTGTCAGAAGGCGAAGTTAATGCACTGGGCGAGACGAAGAGTCCGTATGAGAAGGAGCTGGAGTGGCTCCTGGTCAGCAAAGCGACGGTGCAAGTGTACGGCGTGCTGCTGAACACACTGCTCGAGCAAACGATCCCGCTTAGCAACGACATATGGTACTGGGACGAGGTACTCGGGTCATACACTTTCACGGCCATCTACACGATCCAGACCTCGCCGCTGCGGTTCTGGGACTGGACAAAGGACATCTACGAGGATTCGCGGGAGAGGTTCTCCAGGCTAAGGGAGGCGCCCGAGGAGACACTTTCGGCTACAGCGATTGGCACACGCGTCACGGCGCGGTGGAAGACTTTTTACGGATTAGTGAGGGATAGTATCCGCGAGCGGTCAGTTACGGATATCCAAGCGAGGGTTCTCTCGCCGCTGGCGAAATCGCGGTCCGAGGCACGACGGAAGCAGGCCGGCCTGAAGCGTCTGAGGGAGATGAGCGCAAGTGGCCTTGGAGTTCTGATGGACGAGGGTCTCAACTTTGATATTAGCGAGGATAACACTGGGATTCAGAGCACGGATGGCAGCGACTGGAACGTCGTGGTCGAGCGCAGCGTGGCACTGATGGATACGGTGCTACGCAATGTGACCGCTCTCGAGACCGGCGTGTCGGAGTTCGAAGATATTGTCTTTGCGAGCGTGGCAAACGACCCAGAGGTCTCCTCCCGGAGTATGGGTATGGGCGAACTGCGAGACAAGCCAGCGAAGCTGTGTAAGCGTCTCCAGAATATCCTCGGCACTCACATCCCCGCACACGTCCAGGCCCAGCAACACCTACGATCCCAGTACGGCCGTCCCAACCGCCTCGTCCGCTACTGGCTCCCCGCCACCGCGCTCCTCCTCTCCTCCACCACCATCCTACGCATCGTGGTGAACCGCAAAGCCGCCATCCTACAGTGGATCCAAGACCTCGGCTCCACCATGCAAGACTTCTGGATGAACTGGATCGTCGACCCAACTAAAAAGATTATCAAAACAATCCGCCACGACGAAGGCAGCGAAGTCGCTATCATGAGCCGCGAGTCGCTCAAGGGTGATCGCGACAGCCTTGAGCGAATGGTCGTCGATTTCGCTATTGATAACCCCCAGGCTGCTGGCATGGGCGGAGGATCACTGAGCGATGCCCATATCGCTGAGATCCGCGCGAAGGTCAAGGAGGGTGACTTGACGCCTGTGCTACGCGCGTATGAGAAGGATCTACGCCGCCCGTTCGTGGGAACCGTGCGTGGAGACCTGGTTCGCACACTGCTCATTCAAGTGCAGAAGACAAAGGTGGATGTTGAGGTCGCGCTGAGCGGGATTGATGCTCTACTCAAGAGCCAAGAACTTGTGTTCGGCTTTGTCGGGCTGACGCCGGGTGTTTTGGTGTGCATTGGTGTTGGTCGGTATATCAGCGGGATGTTTGGCGAGAGGAGAGGACAGAAGTACGGGCATAGGGCTGGGCAGATGATCAGGGTTCTACGGAATATCGATCGTATCTTGACGACCTCGACGCCCTCGCCGAGTGGGATTTTGTCATACAAGGACCATGGTTTGCTGCTCTGCGAGGTGCACGTGCTGCGCTCCAGGGCAGCGAAGCTGTTCCCGGGTGAGGTGGAGAGGGAGTTCTTCGAGGATGTGAATGAGCTCGGAGACATCTCGATAGGTATTGAGAGGCAGCTGAAGGTTGTGCAGCGCATCAGGTGGGCATATGGGAAGTGGCTATCTAAGTGAGCGAGCGTGCAAAGCGTTGGCCGCTGCCGCGTGCTGGGTTCTAGAATCTACAGTGCCATATGATCACATATGTAAATTTAACGTGTACTAGATCTGTCACAGTATAATAAAGAAGCGCCCCATTTTATAATAGAAACAAGCTCCATCGAGAACCAAGTCCTTATTCCACTTATCAGCTCTGCTATTGGACATTTTTTTTCTGCTGGGGCGGTGTCTCCATTTGGTACCCGAAACAGCTCCAATTTTTTTCTCAAAAAGTGGCGGAAACCGGAGGTTGAGCACGTGACATGGCATAATCCCCCCCCACGCTTTCGCCATGTGAATATATGGAGGGGGGAGTCATACTTCTTTAACTCTCTTTTGACCAGTTTATATGTTTATTTGTATATATCTGTATATTTTCTTGTAATGGGTTCCATAGAATCAGCGCCGCCGTTGAGCAATGGCAGAGTGAACGAGTCGCCCTTGAACCGGGCAGACGAGGTTGCAGATGTAAGCATTATTACAAAGTGGCAAAAGCACATACCCGAATTGCTCTTTATATTCAGTATACTGACATGTCTGTAGCTCTTAAATTCCGTCCAGGAGCTCATCATCCCTTTTATCCGCCGCGCGGATGAAGAAGCGGCTGTGAAACATACAGGCCGCGGCTTGAGCGGAAGCTCCGGAAGCGCACTGGTCGAGTCGCACAAGCCTGCCGAACTGGTGAAGTTGCTTAACCTCCAACTTCCCGAGACCGGCGGCGGAAAAACAGCACTCTTAGATGTGATCCAGCAAGTCCTGAAGTACAGCGTCAACACATGGGACCAAGGCTTCCTAGACAAGCTCTACGCCAGCACCAACCCCGTCGGCGTAGTCTCCGAGCTCCTCCTCGCAACCCTCAACACAAACTCTCACGTCTACCAAGTCTCCCCCGCCCTCACCGTGATCGAAAAGGCAATCACCAAGAAATTCGCCAACCTCTACGGCTTCACCGGCCCCCACGCCGGCGGCTTCTCAACCCAAGGCGGCAGCGGGAGTAACCTCAGCGCCCTGATCATCGCGCGGAACACGCTCTACCCCGAGACCAAGACTGATGGGAATGGCACCTACAAGTTCGTCATCTTCACCTCGGCGCATGGCCACTACTCCTTCGAGAAGGCGGCGCAGATGATCGGTCTCGGCTCCCGCAACCTCGTTCCCGTCCCCGTCGACGACGCAGGTGCCATGATCCCCGCTGAACTGGAACGCCTCATCCTCGCCGCCAAGGACGCGGGGAAGACGCCCCTCCTCGTTAACGCCACAGCAGGCTCCACAGTCCTCGGCTCCTTCGACCCGTTCGAGGAGATCGCTGCTGTAGCACAGAAGTACGGGATGTGGATGCACGTTGACGGCGCGTGGGGCGGATCCGTCATCTTCTCCGAGAAACAGCGATACAAGCTCAAGGGCGTTCATCTCGCTGATTCCGTGGCTGTGAACCCGCATAAAATGCTCGGCGCCCCGACGACGTGCTCCTTGCTGCTGGGGAAGGATTTGAGGCAGTTCCATCGCGCGAATACGCTGCCGGCCGGGTATCTTTTCCACGGCGCTGACTCGGATGGCGAGGTGTGGGATTTGGCGGATCTGACGCCGCAGTGTGGACGTAGGCCGGATAGCTTGAAAGTCGCGCTGAGCTGGACGTATTACGGTGCAGCGGGGTACGGACGCATGATCGATGAGGCGTTTGAGGCGGCGGGGTATTTGGCGGGGTTGGTGGAGGGGAACAAGGATTTTGTGCTTGTGTCGCAGAATCCGCCGCCGTGCTTGCAGGTGTGCTTTTATTATGCGCCGGGGGGGTTGAGTGCGGTGCCGGAGAAGAACACGGTGAGGACGGCGGGGGTGGTGGAGAGGTTGGTGGGGAGGGGGTTTATGGTTGATCATGCGCCGGGGGAGAGGGGGAATTTCTTTAGGGTTGTGGTTAATGTCCAGACGAGGAGGGGGACGTTGGATGGGCTGGTGAAGGCGATTGTGGATATTGGGAAGGAATAGAAATTAGAGGATGAGAGGGTGAGAGTGAGAGGATGAGAGATGAGAACGGACATTTTGGATAGATACCATACTGGTTCCGCAAGGAAGGCAACATAGACAGAGATATGGACAAAGAAATATAGGATTATACTAGAATTACAGCTAAATAAAGATGGTTTGAAGATACCAGACCTACAGTTATATAAATATTCGTTATATCATCGTGCTGTAGTTCAATGAGGCCAGCAAAGAAATATAGTGTGATGATACGACGCCTATGACTGAAGAAATATAGAATGATACGAAACCTAAAGCAAAAGAAATGTAGTATGAGATACTAGACCTTTAGCAAAATAAATTCAATATCATGATACCAGACGCATAGTTATAAAATATTCGTTGTACTGCCAACAAGAGAACAGTCGTCTCATGATACAAGAACGATGATACCAGACTTACAGTTAAATACCGCCTTCCCTGGGAAAACACAATATAGAAAACGAGAACATATAGACAATGAAATATAATATCAGGATACCAGACCTACAACTAAATAATTAATCGTTATAATCTGTATCTTCTATATCCTCTGTATCGTACTTCCAGTGAGGTCGTCGTGGCGGACATGAACATGCACCGTTTCAACCGAGACCAACCTCGCCACCCGCAGGGGTCATGCAGTTCTGCAGTTCTAGCGGAGCCCACGGCCGCCGCCGCGCATCATAGACCCCAGAACAACTTTATCGTCACCCAACTAACGAAACATACCGTCCGTACCTTGCTTGATTGATTTGCCTCCCACCGAACCTCGTCACATCCACCACCACAACTCTACGATTCCCACGCCGGCGACGAAATAACCAAAACAGATTACACAGCTACGGCTTCGATCTCACCATTCCTCATTCCCTCAGAGATCTCCATGCCAATCGACACCTAGCTCGTGAAATCTACGCCGCGCGATCTGTTCCTGTTCCCGCTACCTAGACCAGACCCCACAAAGACGACGACGACTGCCTCGTTGTCCTCCCTCCCCTCCCTCCCACCACCACCACAACCACCTCAACCACTACCGCAACGATGGCCGGATCCCGCAACTATGACTTCCTGGTACTGCCCTCCCCCCCAGCTGCCAGCCCATCCCCCGATCACCCTCCACTAACCAAACCCGCGCGCAGATCAAGCTCCTCCTCATCGGCGACTCGGGCGTCGGCAAGTCCTGCTGCCTCCTGCGCTTCAGCGAGGACTCCTTCACCCCTTCCTTCATCACCACCATCGGCATCGACTTCAAGATCCGCACCATCGAGCTGGACGGAAAGCGCGTTAAGCTGCAGATCTGGGATACGGCGGGCCAGGAACGCTTCCGCACCATTACGACGGCGTACTATCGCGGCGCTATGGGAATTTTATTAGTCTACGATGTCACAGATGAGAGGAGTTTTAACAGTTTGTCCTCCCCCTCCCCCCCACGCCATTCCCGGGTTGGCCGTCCATCCCCGTCGGCCCCAGTGACGGAACAATAACGAAGACCGAGCACATGGCTAACCACCCCCCCCCTTCCACAGACATCCGCACCTGGTTCTCCAACGTCGAGCAGCACGCCACGGAAGGCGTGAACAAGATCCTCATCGGCAACAAGTGCGACTGGGACGACAAGCGCACCGTGTCGACCGAGCGCGGCCAAGCCCTCGCCGACGAGCTGGGCATCCCCTTCCTCGAGGTCAGCGCAAAGGCGAACATCAATGTCGAGAAGGCCTTCTTCAGCCTCGCGGCGGATATCAAGAGACGGATTGTCGATAGCGCGAAGACGGAGGAGAGTAAGGGGGTTGATGTGGCGCAGGGAAGCAGTGGGGGTGGGAAGTGCTGTTAGACGGGTTGTGATGGGTGTGATGGGTGGGGTGGGGTGAAGGGCCTAATTGGATGGGGGTGAGCGCTGGGCGATGAGACCGGGTATGATAGAGGACCGAACGGAGGGGAGAATTCCCAGCATGCTGCTCATGATGCGGCTCTCCTGTGCCCATTCTCTCACAGAGAGGCGGATGCGGCATTGAGCTACGCAACGCAGCTCTCACTCTCCGGCCGGGTTGGTGTCCACTCACGTACATTTGTAATGTTCCGCCGTCTCCTGTTTTTGTTATCTCTCTTTTTTTGTTCTCTTGTTCAGAGAGTGGCGTTTTTTTTTTTCTCTTTTTTTGCTGGGATTGCGAGTTTTGAGAAGCCAGCAGCACAAGTACACGATGGTCGCGGGGCCTGTGGATTATAAATAGTTTTGTTCATAAATGGGATTGGGAGTTTAGACGTTTAGACGTTTATGCTTTTACTGATGGTCTCTGTGGCGTGGTGAGGGAGTGGTGATGTGATGTGATGTTTGTGTGCTGGTGTACGTATGTGCGTCCAGTGAGGTGTTTTCCTTGTTCTATTTTCTATTTGCATGTGCGCGTGTTCTTCAGAGAGATACTGTCACTTCCCCTTTCCATACAAGACCTCTACTCTACTATCCAGGTTACAGACACTACCACCAGCAATCACCATTCCAAAGCACCCAGCACTCCAAATGCACCAAAAGAACTTCTCGCCCTCCTATCTCCTCTCAAACACTCTCCCCCACATACACGCCCTCAGTTTCCCCAACCCCGAAACGGGTCAACTCAGCCTCACACCTCCGCCCCTCCCCCCAAAACATATAAAAAGCACCCTCTCCTCGCAGATGAGTGAGCTCCACAGATATTCTATACTGATATTATCTCTCTAAGTGGAGGGGTGGTTTGGGTGGTTTGTCAGCTGTGTGTTGGGGCGGTGCGGTGGGGGTGGTGCGTGAGGGTCGGCTGGTGATTATGGGGTGCAGTGGGGAGGGGGGTGGTGGTGAGAATTCGTGGTGGTGGTGAGAACTGGGCGGCGGTGGTGAGAAGGCAATGGTGGGAGTTTGTGTGCGGTGGGGAGGACAGGGTGGTTGGAAGGGCGGCGTGTTATACACATGATACGGGAGAACAGAGAAACAACGCTAATGAGCCCGAAGCTCCCCTATCCATTGGTCGATTAATGTTGGTGGTACTACAAGTAGAATTGGTTTGTGAATCGATGCCGTGTATGATATGGTATAAAGATATATGACCTCGGTCCCGAGAAAGGGGGGCGGCTGAAAATCAGGTGGCATTTATTTCACGCGCCACACTTACGTCTTCATTCCTTGATAAGGCCAGTCAAATCTCCTATTTATATCTTACTTTCTTTCTCTTGTCCTTGTGTCTCCCTTTTCGTCTCTTTCTATTTGTTTTACTGCCGCCTCACGCCGAAAGCGAGCAATTGCGCTGGAAACGAGGTATGCTGGCTCCCACTCTAGCCTGCTTTCTCACGTGCCTTCCTCCTCCTGCTGTCGCTGCACAAGCTCCCCTCCCAACCTCTCATTTCTGTGCAGCAGAACAGTCTTCCAGTTATTTCTCATCACACCGTTGCTTTCAGAACTTCTAAATTTTTCCAGTCTGTTCTCCGTTATCACATCTCCTTTCATATTTCAGCTTAAACCATAAAAAGCATTGCTGGCTGCAGCATATACAAAAGAAGTCAAAGTCTAGCTCCAAAACCAACTATATAATGCAGCCTATGTCCTCACCTATTAATTGGGATGGTTGGCTGGCTGAAGTAGCATACACTGCTCTGCACGCACTTGGCACTTTCAAGTACCTGTCAATCATCCTGGAGGACCCACGAAGTTCAATTGCACCTAGAAAGTGTATGCAGTGGTTGGGTGCGGGTATTTCCCCCCTTCTAGGAGAATCCTCTATTTTTTGTAATTTTTTTGGCTTATATGAGAACTCTCCCAGACGCCCGTAGGAGATGTTATTGATTTTTGGAGTTTTTTGGATGTCAACAAAATCTCATGGAGACGAGGTTTGGCGAGGTGAAGCGATCGAACGAGGGGATGGGATGGACTGTGTATTTTGATGATAAGAGAGGGAAGGTGCGGCGGTTGAGGTTGTGGATATGGATGTGGAAGGAGCGGCGGTTGTGGTTGTGATGTGGAAGGAGTAAAGGGGCGCCGGCGATGGTGGAGCGGCGGCAACGGCGGAAGGAGCGGCGCGCGTGGTTAGTCTGGGCCTGCAATCCGTGATTTTACAGTGACTGATAGCGTGATATCTGTCTTGGGGGACTGAGGTTGGTTCGGTGAGCATGGGAGATTTATACAGGGATAGGGGTTCGGGAATAGGGGATGGTGTGGGAATGCTGGGTATATAATAAATCCACCGCGGGCTTGGCCTGAGATGCCAGGTGAAATGACAGTCTCTATCATGGGCGTACTACACCTCCGATCGAGATGTTGCAAGATAAAGGCAGAACTTGAGAGTAGAAGGCAAGCAATGAGCCAAAGTAGCTCGACGGCGACGTTAAAGCCCCATGATAATGCAAATACTTACTTACGCTCTCTTCAGTCCCCTCAAAATTTAGTCCAGTCACTTCCCAATAAAGAGCCGAGGTGGCAGGCTCCTGTTTCCGAGATTCAGCAGATTCAGCACCTTGGGGTTACCACTAAAGAAATACTAAATGATGTCAACTTTTTAAAGGCCCACGACTACATCGCGGCAGCAACGGTAGCTATAGCTGGCCATGATAGGATGGATGCCAGAAACAGGACGGTGTACCTTAGCAACATCCACCTTAAGGCCACCATCGAAGAGATTTGCAACATTATTAGGGGTGGACTCTTGCACCACAGCAGCCAGCACCCCTTGACAAGAACCCCGCGGCGACAGCAAAACCCCGCGCCAGCAAGAATGAAGCAAGTAGTAAGAATAAGTCCATATAACAAGAATCCATCTATCCTCCAGCTGGCCCCCTCTTAACTCGGTGGGTACAGAAATACAAAGCGATGCGCAAGAAAAACTAACGGCATGGTAGCGAACTGATATGTGTGGCAACCATAGTCCGTCGCGCACTGGTGGGTGAGGACATGGTATTATATATCGTATGGGGTGTGTTGAGACGTTCCAAAGAGAGTAGGAAGAGGAGTTGGTGGTGCTGGGAATGGATGCAGCCGGTTGAAATGAGTGAGGATTCAGACAGGAATGAGAAAGGGGTATGAGAATTCGGGTGCATCCCATGTATATAACAAGCCCCTGAGACAAACCCATCTGACAAGATTCACGATTCGCGAAAGTCTTCAATCTCAAAATGCTGCTGTCCGTACCCCTCAACGAAACCAGCACTTACCAGTCTATGTCCACACTCGCATCTTCCAGAATCTTGGTCCCCCTGCCCCACTCCCCTGACATCAGCAAAATCAGACGGTGACAGCAACCCCCTGACGAGAACCCCGTAGTGGCAGCAAGAAATAGGTAGTGAGAAAGAGACCATGACGAGAGCTCACTGAAAGAGACCATAACGAGAACTCACCCTGCCTCCAGCCACCCTCTACAGTACAGCAATAATAGACTCAAACAACCCACGGAGGCCATCATCAGAATTATTATCCATGATTGTCTCAAGCAAAGCAAAAGTGCCGTTCACAGTATCATAAGGGCTTGTACGGATGGCTGGAGGCACGTCATGGTGAAAATAGAAAGTAGTATGCAGATGATGATAACGCGACGGCGCAGCAACATAGAAACGTCTTATAGTGATATTTGTGTGAAAGTGAGCTAGTGAGATGGAACCAGCCTTTCCATATTATATGACACATATTCAACAATACCGAAGAGGCTGGGAAGGGTGATTGGTGATGGAAGCGGGAGTTGCGTTGGTGGAAATGGATGCGTCGTCGAAACCGAGGATTTTGCCACATACAAGAAATGAGAATGAAAATCCACTGATGCACTCATCACACATACTCACCAAACCCCTGAACGGACCAACCCTCAAAGACCCAATCCCTCCCTTCCCCCCCACCCATCCGCATCCAGTCCCTCACAACTCAACCCTCAAAACTCAGATCCACGTTCACATATCCGCAAGTCCCAAAGCCAATCTTAGACAGTGCCATGATACAGAGATCTGCTCTCTGGAACCTTCCTCAAAACGACCACCCGGTACTACATGCACACCACTAAGCTTTGGGCCCCCCTGGCCCCTGACAGCAGAAAAATTAGAGGTGACAGGAACCAACCCCCGACGAGAACACAGGAACAAGAGCAGAACACTAGCTAGTGAGAAATACACGACGAGATAATGAGGTGGTGACGAAAACTCACCCTTCCTCCAGCTCCAGCTGCCCTCCACAGCTCGGCGGGTATATAAATAGAAAGTAGTATGTAATGACGATAAGGCAATGGTGCAGGAGGAGTGTGCTTGGCTCAATGGTTCTTTTCGCGATGGTGAGCTGGTGAGATGTGGAGGACCTTTTTATACTTTTTCTCAGATGTGTTCAGCGGTGCCGAAGAGGCTGGAAATAGGGGTTGGTAGCGGGTGGGAATGGATGCGCGCGCGGCTGAAGCAGAAATCTCGGCGGGCGATGAGAAAGGGGTATGAGAAATGTCGGATGGACTCATCCGATATTTAACTAGCTCTAGTCATGAACTAATCTGACAAGACTTAACGGTCTAAACCCCTGCACCTCAAGATGCTGGTGTCCGTACTTTCTCCTGAAATGGCCACTCTGGTAATTAGTACCACACGCACCTTGTTGAAGCTCCCCTCCAGTCCTGGCCCCTGACAGCAAGAAAATTACAGGTGACAGCACCCAACTCCCCGACAAGAACACATTAACGACAGCAAACCCGACCTCTGCCGGTGAGAAATAACCAGCAAAGGGATAAAGCAGTAACAAGAACCCTCAACTTCCAGGTTCCAGCTACTTCTTACGTGCCCTAACGGGTATATAAACAGAAAGAGGCACACAAGATGGCCCTTTGCATACTTTTTTCCATACTGCGTGTCAATAGCAGCTACCAGCTGTTGTGTGAACAACACGATAACGCAATGGGGTAGCAATATGCTTGGTTGATGGTGATTTTGTATGATGATGGGCTGGTGGGATGCTAGTAGCCTTTTTATACTTTACGAGATATATTTTGCAGCGCGAAGAGGCTGGGAAAGGGGTTCGGTGGGGAGTGGGAATGGATGCGCGCAGTTGAAGCAAGGATTTTGGCAGTCGACGGGAAAGGGGTATGAGAATTGACTGATACACCCATCCCACACCCCTAACTCTCACTCCCCCCAACAACAACAAGACCCAACCCCCCCTCCCCTCTCCGGCCCCCCCCTCCCCCC